TCCTGTGTCCTCCCCACCTCTCAGGCGCCCAGGGCACTGTGCCACTGTCTCCCAACCCAGTTTCCCCAGTGACAGTTCTTACTGTCACACTGTGACCCAGGCTGGGAGCGGTCAATTCTCCACCTGCCACCTTGGCATCTACAAGGACAGGACACCACAAAATGCTAGAAACGCCAGAAGAGTGACAGCTCCTCATTGCCACCCCGCCAGCACAGGAGCCAATTTCGGAGTGCTGTTCTTCAGGTGGGCTTCCCAGGGCCACCCACCAGGGACCCACTGTTGAGGTCTAGTTCCCTAGGAGCAAAGCCTGAAGCAAGAATTCTTATTCTCAGGCTGTTGCTGAGCGTGTGCTCAGGAGACCGAGGAAGTCTGTGTTATGCTCCAGGGGTGCTGAGCCCTGAACGGTTTCCAACAGGAGCTTACCTGTTCACACTTCCGGAGGCCGGGAACCCGCATCAGGGTGTCAGCAGGGCTGTGCTCTCTGAAGGCTCCAGGGCAGTCTGCCCCATGCATTTCTCTCAGCATCTGGCGTTGGTTGACCCACTGGCATTCCTTGGGTCACAGATGTCCCCTCCCGTCTCCACCTGTGTCGTCACATGGCCTCCTCCTGCAGCTCTCCTCTTCTGAGGACTTCATTGGTCTTACTGGACTAAACCTACCCGACTCCAGAATGAGCTCATCTTAGTTTACATGGTTTTTGTTGTTCTTGCTTTGTTTTTTTTTTTTTTTTTTTTTGAGACGGAGTTTCGCTCTTGTTGCCCAGGCTGGAGTGCAATGGCGTGATCTCGGCTCACCGCAACCTCCGCCTCCTGGGTTCAGGCAATTCTCCTGCCTCAGCCTCCTGAGTAGCTGGGATTACAGGCACGTGCCACCATGCCCAGCTAATTTTTTGTATTTTTAGTAGAGACGGGGTTTCACCATGTTGACCAGGATGGTCTCGATCTCTTGACCTCGTGATCCACCCGCCTCGGCCTCCCAAAGTGCTGGGATTACAGGCGTGAGCCACCGCGCCCGGCCTTCTTGCTTTGTTTTGTTTAGAGGCAGAATCTTGCTCTATTGCCCAGGCTGAAATGCAGTGATGTGGCCACAGCTCACTGCAGTCTCAACCTCCTGGGTTCAAGCAATCTTCTCACCTCAGCTTCCAGGGTAGAGCTGGGACCACAGATGTGTACCACCATGCCCAGCTAATTAATTTAAATGTTAATTGCATCTGCAAGGTCTTATTTCTAAATAAGTTCACATTCACAGGTATGAGGAGTTAGGACTTCAGCATCTCTTTGGGGGACACAACAGAAACCTAGGGGGATACACCATCCTGGTTTGCCTGGGACTTTCCCAGGTTTTGGTGCTGAAAGCCCTGCTTCCCAGGAAATTCCTTAGTCTTGGGAAAACTGAGATGCCTGGTCACCGTGGAAGCAGGACAGGACTGGGTAGTGGAGTGGAGACTGCTGAGCAGAAGGCTGTCTCTCTTAGAGACCAGTTTCCTTCATTCCACATGGACGCGCTGGGGCAGACACGGAGAACTTCACAGATCAGAACCACCTTTCCGCAAAGCAGCGACACCGATGCATCAGACATTGGTAGGGTTTTGCCTCTGGGTCTGGAGGGCTGCTGTGTGGGTGGCTCCCATTCCCCAGAACAATTCTCCAAGATCAGGGCAGCCACGAGTCACCAAGAGGCATCAGCAGCTCGGGACCAGTAGGCTGACCCCTAAAGGGAATCTGAACAGAGCCACCGGTGCCCAACCATCCCCTTGTCCTCCCACTAAATGGCCTGCTGCCCCACCTACTCACCCAGGTAAACGCACACCTCGACTCCTGTTCACCTTGGTAAACACACACCTGTCTGCCTAGGTAAATGCCCCACTCACTCACCTGTGCATCCTGGTAACCGCTCACTTGCCTCTACAACTGCTCAAGGCTCAGCTGGTAGGAAATGCTTGGCACTCCCCACTCCCACCTGGGATTTCACTGTCCACCTCCAGCTCCGTCTGGCATTGCCCACACCTGTCCCTCTGCACGGCCTCCACCTTGGTGCCAGTCGCAGGTGTCTGCCACCTGCACCCACGTAGTGGCCGGCTTTTGAACCCACTCCCAGCCACCCTTCTCTCCTGTTCTCCTCCCCAAAGTGAGCCTGCCCCAGAGAGGCTTGCCACAAACACAAGTCCAATCATGATGGCCTCACTTCAGATGTCTGAGGTGAGTGGTCCTCAGTCCCCGGAAGCCCTGGCCTCTGCCACCTCTCCCATCTATCCCATGCGGCTTCTCCCTCCTCACTCCCAGCTGCCCAGCTCCTCCAATACACAGAGCTTGCACCCAGCCTGGCTCCTTGATGCCCTATCCTGGGGCTCCCACTGAGGGGCTTTCCCTGCTGTACCTCCCTAGACAATACCAGTGCTCCCAGCTGCCATCACTTCTTTCTGCGACTAAAGAACAGACCTGGCTGTTTCCGGGACTGGATGAAGCTGGTCAGTGCTGAAAGAGAGAGGCAGATGAGGGGGCCAGGAATCTGGAGGGGCTGGGGGAGAATCAGAGGCCAGGGAGGAATGGAGCTTTGGGTGGGCGCTAACAGACCATTGGATTTGGACAGTCAGAGCTGACACGCAGAGCCCAGGGAGCTGGAGGGTTAGGTCCCTTAGGTCCCCCACCTGCAAAAATGAGGCTGAGGTGGGGGTTGGTCCCTTGGCATGTGAGCCCAGGAGTTTCCCAAGCCAAGTGGCAGCCAAGGCGGTGGGGAGGGGGCAGGCAGGGAGGTGAGGATGGGGCGCTGGCCCTGCTCAGGACTGGTTGGCGTGGAGGGAGCTGGGGCCCAGGCCGCCCCCGCACTGAGTCGAGGCCACCCCGCTTCGAGGGCAGGGCCGTCCGGATCCCCTGATTGCTTTCTTTCATCCTGGTGCCTTTCTCCGCCGCAAACGCCAGCTAATGCCTCCTTTATCACAGAATTACGGGATTTAGGGCCGGTCGCACAAAGGGGCCCTCGATAGCGGCCGTAATCAAACGCCAATCGGCCGATCTCGGGCGGGCTGGGGAAGAAAGGAGCGCCGGGGATTAGCGCGGGTACTGCGGCGGAGCCAGCAGAGATAGCATCGTCGCCGCTGCGGGGCTGAAGCCGCGGAGGGCCTGGCCGCGCACGGAGAAAGGCCGGCTTAGTTCCTGGAGCCGAGGATTCTGAAGCCATTAAGGGAGGATTAACACCCAGGTTAATCTGCTTTGGTCGCTCAATTGTCAGCAGCTAACGCGCGGGCTGAGGATGCCTGGCTCCCTGCGACCACAGGGCCTTGCCACCCGGCAGTCCAGAGCTAAGAGCTGATATCAGTTTCCCCAACTGTCACCTGGCCAATGGGCCCTCGGGCCGAGGGGAAGACGCGCACCACGGGCCAAGACGAGTGTGGATTAGTGGACCCCTTGCCCTGGCCAGCCTTCCTGGGTGATCAGGGAACAGCCCTGCCCCTCCTGTGTCAGGCTGAGACAAGGATGCTCCCGCCCCCTCCAGACCCACACCCTTGTGGACACTAATCACCACTGCGGCCCGGGGTGCTACCTACACACTGAGCTGGGGCTGCATGGCAACATGCATGACACACCTTTCCCCATCGGACAGGGCCAGGGGGCAGCCTGCAGACAAGGTGGATGCTGACAAGGGCAGCTAGCAGCCCCCTTGCTGATCCTCCATATTCCCCTTGGGGTCCTGTCCAGGAATAGCTCCCTGAGGACCTCTGTTGACCAACTCACTGACAGGGCAGATGTGACACCACCTGCTGCCTCTCAATCCCTCCTCACTCCTCATCTTCGGTCCTCTCTCACTAGGCAGCAGAGGGAGGGACTGGGCCTCCACAGGTCCCAGGTAGGTCCTTTTGCTCGGTCTGGATTTTCCTATCTGAGGAATAGAGCGGGCTAAGGAAAGGCCTAACCAGGATATGCCAGTGTCGTGTGTGGCCTGTGCTCACTGCTGCCTTCTGTGGGGACACAATCCCAACCCCAGCTCCTTCTCCTGTTCCTACCAACAGGCCCCCAGAGTAGGTGGCTCAGAGTGGTGTGCCTACATCTACCTCCTCCTCCATGGGGATGTGGCAAGGCCACCGTGCCTTACATGAGCCCACAGGCAGCAACAAGGGGCTGGACTGGAGCTGGCCAGGCAGGCAGGATGGAGTGGACGGGAGCAGAGGACAGGCAGGCAGGATGGAGTGGGCGGGAGCAGAGGACAGGCGAGTGGAGCCCTCCGGGGAACACGGCTACGACTAGGGACATTGGAACAAAAGGTCACAAGTGGAAGAAAAGACGCAGTCATAAGTACATTTGTCCTCCCTTCCTTCCTTCAGCAGTGACCAACGACTCTCCCATGCAGGCCCTGTGGAGGGGACACAGACGTGAGCCACGGGCCCAGGCTCTGTCCTCTGGGAGCGTGGGTCCGAGGACAAAGTTAGCCAGATGGGAGGGCGCCGTTCGGGAAAGGGAAACGGAAACAGACACCCCACCTGCACACTGGCCAGGCAGGGCCTGAAGGGCAGTGCGAATTACAGGGAAAAGGCGGAGCTGGAGGAAGAGTGCTCCAGGGCGAGGAAGCCGCGCCCGCAGCGATCCGGAGCGCGGTGGGGAGCAGGTGCGGCGGCAGAAGCCCAGTCCTGGGACACGCAGGCCAGCTCCAGGCAGGGGAAAGGAGGGGCGGGAGAAGCGGGAGACCAGAGAGTGTCCCCTCAGTCTGGAGCCTCAGGGTGACCCCGGCAGCCTCCAGCGTGGGCGGCCGCTGTTCCGGGGAGGCGCCGTCAGAGGCTCGGGGAGGGTGGACGATGCGGCTGGGCCGGCGAGAATCCAGGGGCTGCAGGCGAGGGTGGGGACTCGCGGTGAAACCTGAAGGTCAGGGGCTGGTGGCAGGGACCGCGAGGGGCCTCCAGGCAGCCCAGTCAATCTCGGACTAGGGGTTGAGGCCGCAGCAGCGCAGGATGCCAGGGTCAGAGCAGCGCAGCTCCAGCTTCCGCCGCCCCGGCACAGCGCAAGCGCAGCCACGACGGCCGGGCGCGCCGTCGTGACGTCATCAGCGCGCACCGCCCCCACTTCCGAGCGCACGGGTGGTAGCTCCTAGAGCCCGGGCGTTCCGGGAACGCGATCCTACTCGGCGGCCCTCCCTGCTTGCATCGGCCACTCCTGAGGCTGAGGAATTTCATTCCTTTTTCGAAAACAGATACCCAGGAAGCCTCTCGGTGCTCCCCCGTGGCTGGGTACTGAGCCGGGCCCGGGTGGTCTGCGGCCAGGGGCCCCGCCCCTCAGCGCAGGCGACCCTCCTGCTGGCCCTGGCGGGCACAGCGCCTCTCCAGTGACCTGGGCCGGCCCGCAGGATGAGCCCCCGGATCACGATCGCTGGCATTTTATTTACCTTCCTCCATTACAACCCCAGGCGAGTCTCCTGGGCCCCGAGAGGAGGCGGTGACAGGCCAGGGCCATCGGCAGCGGTAGCAGGGGACTGCATAGGGCTGCCTCGGGCCGACTAGCAGGCTCGCCGCGAGCCTCGGCGGCCCCAGTCCCCAGCGCATGGAATGTGCCCCGGGCCCCATGAGCTCCCGGACCCGCGGTTGTGAGACAGGGCTTGGGCTGCTTGGAGCTAGTGAGCCATCGGCCACGGCAGGCATTTGAACAGAGCTTGGAGGCAAAGGGGTGAGATGGTGCATCCATTGAGGTCACTTCAGGAGATGACACTCCTGTGGCTAAGTGTAGCCTCCCAGGTAAGGCCCAGTCAATGGAGAATCCTCAGGTGGGCGACGGGTGGAGGATGCGTGTGGTTTGGCAGAGGGGACAAATGTGACAACAGTGTAATAAGGGCCATGTTGGGGAGGGTCAGTGGTCAGGGCCTGGCCCAACCTGAGCAGAAGGGAGGCTCTCTTAGGGATATTTGCCAGGTAGGAATGGGTGGAGTGGAACTACAGGGCCACCATGTTTCCCATAGGTCACCCACGTTGTTGGCCTTGTCATGTTTATCCACGAATCCTGGTGTTCTCTGTGGTCCTCCCATCGTAGCTTTTAGGCTGTCCTTTCAGTTCTCCACTGTCCCTGCATCACCCCTGCCCCTGTCCCTTGTGTGTTTCTGTTCAGTCCATGTTCCCAGGTGTTGAGGTGGCCCCTGATTCTGTGCCCCTTACCTAAGACCCTGTGCAGGGAATCTGTGAAAACAGAGGAAATAAAAAGTGGGGAAAATACTACTCATGCATCATCGACCAATATTGTGTTTGTTGTGAGTGCTGAGAGGGACACAACCCCAAAACCAGCATTCTCTTTGTTGGCTAAGAGGAGACAGACCCACTGTCAGGAGTCACTGGCTTTTTTGAATACTAAGCTGACTGCCATTCATCACCTACACAGGGACCTGGAAGACGGGTGGGGAGGAGGTGGCATGCCGCAGTGTGTGAGGGGAATATCTAGGAATCTGGGGAAGGGGAGGATGGAGCCGGGTAGCTGCCTGGAAGCCTCCGTACATCCTCACAGCGGTGAGGATGAGGCTGGGAGGTTGGCCAAGTCCTGCCCTGTGTGTGGTCACCACCTCACCTGATCCCTTGTCCTTTTCTCTGAGGCCATTGTCTCTCCTGGGCAGTTGTAAGATTCAGATTCCAGGCTCTGACTTTAGCTGGTCAATGTGGCTCTGGCTGGAACAGGACATGGTGACCTGGAATCTCCATCCACAACCTTGGTATGCACTCAGCCACCTCCTGGGGCTCTCCCCAGCACTGACCAAGCTTCCTGCTTAGTAGGGAGAGGTGGAGCACAGGCTAGAAGTCAAGCCTCTTCTGCCTGCAGACTAGCTTGGAGACCCGCCCATGTGTCTCTGCCCCTCTGCCCCCAAGGGCAGGTGTCCCAGTGGCCTTAGTCTGTGCTAATCCCTGCTGTGGGCCTCCTTTCTGCAGTCTGGTTAAATGCAACTTGGCTTCCTCCAGGCCCCTGCCTGTCACTCCAGCCTCCAGCTCTTTCCTGCACAGACACCTTTCCCCTTGGGCCTCAGCTCCAAGACTGGTGGCTGCCTTCTTCTTGAAGCGATGTGTGAGGCAGCCTAGAGTGTGGGTTCTATCTACCAGGGTAGGTGGTTCCAAGGGACTCAGATCCAGCTCAGAAATTTCTGGCTGGGTTACCTGATGTCTGCCCTGTGATTCAAGGCATAAACAAGGTGGCCCTAAGGACGGCAGGGGTCCAAAGAGGATGGAGACCTATGCCATCCTACACCCTGCTCGCAGCTAGTGCAGCCTCAGCCCCTTCCTGTGGAGGGGGACAGGGACAGGACTCGGTGTAGGTGTGTGTAGTGAGTGGCTGGCATCTCTGAAGATGAGTATGTGGGGGTGGGGGTCCCCTTCAGCCATCTGTGAGGCCTTGCCTGCTCCCAGAACTGCCTGGAACCTGGGGAGACTGTAAACAACGTCCTGCAACCCCAAGAAAAAAGCTGCGATGTGTGAGGGCTTGCTCTGCCTAAGCATGATTCTGAGCACCTGCAGGGAGTACAGCAAATGGATGCTGAGGCCTGGAGGGCAGACCCCAGAGAGCTGAGTGCCCCTCCAGGTTTCATGGCTGGCACTATGGACCAGTGCGGCCCACTGCCTGTCACCCCACAGGAAAGCTTCTGAGGTGCAGAACCAGTGGCCCGAGTTCCAGGGACAGGAAGTGTCTTGGTGTGGGGTTCTTGTGGTGGCACTTGCATGCCCCAGTGCACAGTGGGAGGAGGGAGGCTCTGTTGCCTGGGCCCTTTCTCCTCTGTGCCAACAGATTGGGAAGTGAGCATGGAGAGTGCCTGGCCATCCCATCACAGCACAGGTTGAGTGCTGAGACACCCACAGCCCTTCCCAGCCTGGGGGCTCTCCCCAAGGCTTGAAAACCCTGTGCTCCCTGTGTACCCCCAAGCCCATGCTTGGCTCCCAGATCCACCTCGAGCCCTTTGGACCCCAGACGTCTCCCCAGATGCACACTCCTGGGATTCTGGTACTGTGTGAGGTTGCTAGAACAGGGCAGTCTCCCCAGGGATGGGATCTGCTTATATGGAGTTTCCAGCTGGCAAAAGCTTATTTTCCAGTCTGAGCCAAATGCCTGACTTTTCCCTCACAGAGGCACTTGGACAGGAAGCTGGCTTCTCTGCACAACCAGGGGCACCGAGTGAGCCCCATCTTTCCCAAGTGTCCTCCACGTGGCTCACTGGCTGTGGAAAGAAGGGCTTGGCCCCATGGGGACATGCCAGTGTACAGCTCTGGCCTCCAGCCAGAGGGACACTTTTCCTTGAGGCTCATGGCTGTAGCACAAGGTGCCCAAACGGCTCTGGCCAGGTAGCCCCGCCTCCTACTGCCCCAGGGCAGCTGTCTCCCAGCCTGGGTGAAGGAACAAGGAAGGGCCCCTGCTCAGAGCCTTCGGGCAGCAAAGGCCAGACACCCCTGCCTGGGGTTCAGAGGCCCCAGCATACACCCATCCCCTCTTCCTATGAGCAGCTCATTTCACTCACTGAGGAGCTGGGCATGCCCCAGAGGGGCCCTGAGCAACCCAACCCTTTCCTAAGCTTCCCCCTGGGTGAGGGGCAGGCAGTTGTCCTGGGGCTTCATCTCCTGGGCCCAGCCCCCTGCTCCGAACACTGCTCTCTGCCAGGCCACCCCAAGGCCTTGTGAACATACCCTTTTACCCACACCATGGGATCTTGCCCACAGGTCACAGGGAAGGCCAGGGTGCAGCCCAGATCCTTCTTGGCCTGGTGCTCGGCTTCTTAGGGAGTCAACACTGTGGCCACAGTGCCCTGCCCTGGGTGGACACTATTCTCTCCCTGTCCCTATTCTGCAGTGTCCTCAGATGAGGGTGGCCTGGTCCCTGAAGAGGCACAGCCTCCAAAGCCCATGCATAGATGGGCCCATATAGGGATGAACACAGGACAGGAGGCTGCAACAGGATCCGGTTTATTCTGCCTTGGCAGGGTGGTCCTGAGAGTGGCGGGTGCCACCCTGTCCTGGGTGGAGGGAGGGCCCGAGGGCCAGTTAAGGCCAATGGCGGGAGAAGCGGGGGGCTGCAGCCCCTGGAATGCGGTGAAGCCAGGCCGAGGCCCGGAGGCAGCTGTGGTAGGCCGGGGCAGGGTGGAAGGCACCGGACTGGGACCGGGCCAGGGCTACAGGGCCGAGGACCCAGGCCACACGGGCACCCCGGGAGGCGGGGCACAGGGTTACATGACACAGAACATGAAACACAGGCACAGTGCTCACAGTAAGCACATTGACAAGTGGGCACAGGGTCACAGGCCAGATGTACACCCAGCTATGGCTGGGCCAGACACCAGGGCACAGTGGTGGTGTCACAGACCACAAGGGGGACACGGCATTATGGGACACATGGATTTGACAGCCACAATGCACAGACCAGACCACAGAGCTCGAGGGACGTGGGAAGGGGCCTTTTGGCACTACAGCACTGGATTCATGTGAGACAAGGGTGGTGGGGCACTCGGGAGGTGCCTGGGGCGGTCCCCTTGGGGCCCCTCTAGGCTTAGTCCGTCTTCCACACTTTGTTGAGCAGCTTCACCACCTCATCATAGATGATAAACACTATGGCCACATCCAGGCAGACCCGGCCCAGGCGGGGGACAGTGCCCTTGTAGAATCTGAGTGGGAGGAGGGGCAGGGAGAGGAAGGCAGGTCACCGCAGTGTCCCTAGCAGCGAAACCCCCAGAAGCTGGAGTGAGAGGCATAGAGGCCTGAAAGGAGATGGTGTGGGGAGGCCAGGTAGGTCGGGAAAGGTCTGAGGTGGGGACAATAGCCCTGGCCCTCCCCCACTCACGCCTTGAGCCCCTCCTTCCTCAGGATCTGCAAGCCACAGTCCCACGTGTTGCGGTATTTGTGCGCCTCCAGGCCCTGCGGGACATCAGCAGGCAGGGGCTGAGCAGCTAGTTCTGGCCTCATCCCCCCTTTCCCTCCCCTTCCCTATCCCCCACCTGCATCCGGGTCTTAATCACGTCCAGAGGAGTGTTTCCAAAGACACTGGCTGCGCCCGCAATAGCTCCGAACACTCCAGTGATCAGAGGGTTCATGGGCTTGTTGGGGTTGTCCCCTGGATATGGGGGGGGTGAGTGAGTTGTGGTTAGAGGGTGCTGGGAGGAGCCTAGACCAGCACCTCAAAAGGTGGGTACCCGCCACGGGGTGGGGGGAGGGCCAGGGAGAGGAGAGTACCTGGCTGTGTGCGGAGGCGGGGCCCTGTGGTGCAGACATACCTCGGTACCAGTTCCGCAGGGAGGTCATAACGAAGAAGCGGATGGCCTGGTTCGATCCCTGCTTCAGCACGGTGGCCGTGAGGCCCTGGTATGTTCCCTTCAGCCCTGGGGGCAGGCAGGCACCGAGTTACCCTGCAGCCTCTCAGGCCCCGGCTGGGAATTGGTGGTGGGGGAAGGGGAGGGGAAGAGGGAGGCAGGTGCTGCACAGAGTCCAAAGCAGGATGGGAGGTGCAGGCCCTTCCCACCCTGGACCAGGTCCCTGAGCCCTGGCGGGAAGGTCAAGTGGCTCACCTTGTTCCCGCACAATCTCCCTAACCCCGTGGAAGAATCCTCTGTACTTGGGGTTTGGAGAGGTCTGGTCGTGGATGAACTTCACCTGAGAGAAGCAAGGGGGGCCGGTTCTCGGCTGCCGCCTGGGTCGGTCCTGGCTAGCAGGCAGGACCAGGGCCCATGGCTGGGGGAACTGGGGCTGCAGCTCCTCCCTGGGAGGCAGCGCCAACACCACCCACACGGACCATGCCCTGGGACACAGGGCAGCCCTGGTAGCCAGACTCTACCTTTACGTTTGCTGTTTTTTTCCAGTTTTGGCAGTGAACGTCATTTGTTTTCTGCTTTATAAAAGTACTTTGTAAAAACTTTACGGCTACCTTTAGCAAAGACTCGGCTTCCACAGGCGGCCCTTCCTGGCAGGCGTCCTGCCCCAGGGCCCCGAGATCACCTTGCTGATCTTCCTTGGCACCCACGAGACCCGCCCCAGCTTGCCGGTTGTCCCTGGTGCGAAGGGCCAGCGCGGCCGCCCCTCCCCCTACTCCCTGCATGTCCGGGGTCCTCACCAGGACCTTCCCCACCTTGATGGTCTCCATGGGGCACACGACCACTACGGCCTCAGCCACGCCGGCACCCAGGCCGCACAGCAGCCCGCGTGTGCTGTCCAGTCGTCCCTGGGCATCCCGCATGTGGTTGCTGAGGAACTCGAACATTCCGAACCTGCAGAATGGAGGCGGGTGAGTGGGGCTGCCGTGGCCTAGCCCCCCTCCCGCAGCAGGCCCGGGCCGGGCCTTACCTGACAGCCGCCTTGGGGATGGAGCCGTAGAGCAGGGAGCTGAGGCCGCGGTACAGGCCGAGGACGCCATGGCTGCGGACCGTCTGCCGCACGCAGTCCCCTGGGGAAGGGGGCAGTCAGGACTCCACCGCCCTTCGTGCTGCGGCCCTGGGTGCCCGCCCCCTGCGGCCTCCCCCTCCTCACCGATGCCCCGGTACCGCGGCGGGTGCGAGCGCTCGTCCAGCTGCAGCTGCGTCTTCACGTACTCGGTGGGGAAGGTGATGCATATTTCGATGCCGCCCGCCAGGCCGCCTGTGGGGACGGGGCACTGGCTTCTGAGACCCTGGCCCGGCCGCCGGCGCTCGGGCCCCTCCCCCGTCCCGGACTTTGCCCGGCGCGGCCGCCGCGCCAGTGTCGCGGGAACCCGGGCTGGGGCCCCACGCCCCCATCCCGTTGTTCCGGCGAGGCGCAGGGGTGACAAGCGGCAGGCGGGCGAGCCCCCGCGCGGCGGGTGGGGACCAGGACCGCTCCCCACGATCCCCCAACCCACGGCCCAACCCGGAAGTGGGGCGGGGCCTCGGCGTCCCGGGCCCACCCGGAAGCGCGGCGGGACGGGGGTCCGCATCCCGGAGGGGCCCACCTGCCAGGATCGCCTTCCCCGGGTGCGTCAGCTTGGCCTTCCCGGACGCTGGCGCGGCGGCCGCCAGAGCTCGCGGGCCGCGGGGCGCGGCCATGGCGGGCGGCAGGCGGGGCGCCCGGTGGTGAACTCGGGTCCGAGCCTCCTGAACTCCACGCTCGGTCTGGGGTGGCGGCGGCGGCCGGTTATGGTCCCGGGGGCGGGGCGGGCGCGTCAGCTACGGGTCCCGCCCCGCGTGGTCTGAGCCGGGCTCCGCCCCCGGCCCACCCCGTGCGGGCCGGGAAACTGAGGCCGGGGCGGGGCGCGCCGAGGCAGGCGTAGGGGCGGGGCTAAAGCGCAGCCAATGGCCGAGGCCGAGACCCTGGCGACGGCGAGCGGCGGGGCCAGGGGCGGGGCTGCGGGAGGCAGGGCTACGGCCCAGCCCCGAGCTATGGATAAAGGTGCACAGTGTGCCGCGCCGCCAAGGGCGCGGGGTGCGGGTCTTGGGTCTGCGCGACTGCCGAGAGCGACGGGATCCCGGAGGCCAGGGGCACACCTTCCCTGAAAACACGTAGGGCTAGCCCCGTCCCTGAGGAACTCGAACGTTCTGGCTGAACCTGGAGGCAGGTGAGAAGGCGCTACGCCTCCGGGGCCCCTCCCGCAGCGGCCAAGTGCTGGGCCTCACCTGGCGGTTCCCACCCACACCTCTCCGGGATTTAGGGTTCCTGTGCTCAGCGAACATGGTCAGGAAAGACCCCAAATACAAGCAGCTGTATTCTTCTAGGTGGCTTCTCTGGGCAACGCAGATCCCACATCCTGCAAAGAGGTCCCAGGAAATCTTTAATGGACTGCGGGGCCCAGGAAACTGGACCCTCTCCTTCCTACCCACACCAGCACCAAGCAGAGCACCGTTGCCTGGATAAACCGACTTTAATATTTATGATAGCCAGGAGGCTCGGAGTCCTGTTATGAGGCCTGGTACCTCCAAACAAGACGTGTTCAGGTTGTCTTCAAACTGGCCTGGAGGGGGCAGCTCCAGCCAGTGGGGGACACTCACAAGGAATGCCTGGCTCCAGCAGAAGGGCCCACAGTCCAGTCCTGTTGGCGGCTGAAGCTGGTCTTGCGCCGTCAGCCTCTACCCTGGCCTCCCCAGGCTCTGGGATGGCTCAGAGGTTGCCATCATTGGGTTTCAGCAAAAATAAATAACGTCCAGGCGTCCCCGCCTCCCACTGCGGGCCCCTGTGCTGCTGGAGTGACATGCTCCTTGGAGAAGTTAGTAACTCTGCAGGTAGAGTGGGTGGAGACAGCGCCCACTACAGGCGTAAGTTGTACATGAGAGGCTGGAGAAAGGCAGGAGCAGCGGCATATCCAAAGGGGAAGCTGGCAGGGGCTGGGGCCGCGGAAGGGCCTGCTGTCAGCATCAGCTGCTGGCCTGCAGAGGGGGACACCCATAGTGAGCAGAGCTCTTCCTGCCCATGGGGTCCTCTTCTGGCTGCCCCTGAGTAGCCCAGGACCCAGAGAGCAGGGTCTACAGGACCAGCCCTTACCACCCAGAGGCTGAGGCACCAAGGGAGCAGGCACCCAGAGGCAAGGAGCATGGGGTCAGCCAGAGAGGCTGGCCTGGCTTGAGGGTAAGCTAGTCCCCAAATGGGACACTTACTTAGTGCAACTGGTTGGGTCTCATTCATGCCCATCAAAATCTAAAAAAACCAGATTGGTATTAATGGTGGAGGGACACACTCAGCAGGAGGCTTGTGACAGCCGGCGTGCCGCACACTCACACCACACCCTCAGGCCTGTGTTGGCCCCGCAGTGTTCCAGTACCCCTACCCCACAGCCTGTCCCGTCTGCTCTACAGCCAGGCTGCCCTGGGCAGGTTCTCAGGTGCACAGCCCCTCCCAGCACACACCAGCAGCAGCCTTGCTGCCCAGGGGGCCAGGCCTGGCAGGACACAGCAGCAGCTCACAGCTAGGCAGGCACCCCCATCGGAAGGCAGGCACCTTTACAGCAGGGAGGACAGTGGCCATGCCAGCATTCCTGGACATACACTTCTCCACACCCAGCAGCCACTGGGATTGTTCCGGCCCCTACCCATCCATTCCCATCCTCATCCCCATTCAAAGCCCGGCCAGGAAAGGGCAGTGGGACTTGAATCCCTCCCTGCTCCCTTTTCAGGGGGTTGGGGGCTACAGGTGCCACCTACCAAACATGAGAGGGGCAGGCTCCGTCACATGCTCCTCTTGCTTGCACAGACTCTCCAAGGCATCCAGTTTGTCCACCTGCAAGGAGGTGAAAGCATGTGAACAGCTGCTTGACAGAGTGCAGTCCCAGCCTCTAGGTGAACGTGGAGTGGAAGATCAGGACACAGGGCCTCCAGGAGAGTGAGAACGGAAGAGGTGGACACAGGCAGATGTGGAGCGGCCCAGCCCACACCCCATGCACTTTTAGAATGCAGCAAGGCATGGAGAGGTGAAGCCTTGGTAGCTGGCTGAGACAGAGTGCCCAGCAGGGTCCCCAGGGCTTCCCAGTGGGCACTGGGGCAGTCATTTGTTACAGGCTGAGGGTGTGGCCTGCTCATGGGGGCCAAGTCCTCCTTTAGATACAAGGACACTGCCATTTACTGACCTGCAGGGCTAGGGCCATGCCAGGGAACAATACCTGCTTCTGACTCCAGCCAGTCCAGTCTGCCCACCCCTCCTGACTAGCAGAGAGATCATGGCTCTCAGAGACAAGTCACCTGGCACCTAGACACTTCACCTGAGAAGCACTGAGGACAAACTGCCTCCTCACTCTTCCCTGAGGCTTCACCAGGCACCAACCCTGCCTCTTGCCAAACAGCAAGGTGGCAGCAACTGTGCAGCTAGGATCCCCTCACAAAAGCACTGAGTAAGAAAGAGAAACAAGGATGTGCCCCTGTGAGCCGGGGTCTGGGGGCTGAGAGGTGAGGAGGGAGCAGGACAGGTGCACTGGCCCTGCTGCCTGTCCTTGCTACAGCTTGCTGACACTCAGGCTGAGGGCTCAACTAGGCCTGTACTGTCCCCGCACTGGAAGAGCACTGGGGGCGTCTCAGAGGGATGGCCCTCGAGTTTCCCAGATGAGCCACAAGGCCCCGGGCCCAGCTGTCCTCCAGGAAGGGACTGTACTTCTTGCCCGCACCCTCATCCTCCCAGCACTGCTGTGTGGAGTCAGCTGGGCCCCAGCTCAAGCTGAGAATCAGCTCACACCCTGACACCACTGACTGGGAAACCCCTTGCCAGCCCCCTCCTCTCCTTGAACTCTCCCCATGACAGGCACCTCATCTGCCCCTGCAGGAATAGGTGGGCAGCAGCAGGGCAGAAGCCACCACTTCCCAGGGCCAGTGGAGTCTCAGAAACCCAGGCCAAGGCTGTGCTGCCACAGTGTGGACAAAGGTGACAGTGGCTGCTAACTCAATCATCTACAACAGAAAGAATGTGCTCCTCAAAGTCCTGGGGGATCCCCTGGTACTTTGACCCCCACAGCAATGACATCCCTGAGGCCTGGGTGAGCCTGAGTTCCTCTAACACGAACCCATGGGCCTCTACTGTCAGGAAGAGATTCATGCACATTCTTCCTTCCTTGTGCAGATTCTCAGAACACAGACTGCTTTCAGGAAAGACACCTGAGGGATGGGAAAAGCCGCTTATCTTGGTGAGAGCAGCTTCTACAGGCACACACCAGACACTGCACACCACACGCCGCACACCACACACCACATTCCATACACACGGCCTATAGGGAGCTGCCATCCACTTGGTGGGGGAACCAGGGCCCTTGTCAACCCAATCAGTCTATGTCCTCTGGCAGCCCACTAATCTCAGGCTACGTGGTCAGGGCTGCCCTTCCTCCCCACCCCTTGAGAGTCATCAGGGAGTCTCTCACTCAGGTGTGCTATGCAAATGGGATGGGGTCTCACTGTCCTGCAGGAGGGTGATGGCCTCTGGGATGGCCTTCAGGGGCTGGGCAGCCCCCTGGAGGCTAAAGCAGGCAGCATGGGCCTGCCTTCCGGTTTCCTTCCTACCTCCCACTCCCCTGGGAGGCCCCTCCCTTCCCTTGCTCCACTGAGTGATGCCTCAGCGTGAGTGCCTTCTGAAGGTTTCCATCTGGCTGAAGGAGGTTAGATGGGCAAGTAGATGCTACTAGAGGTGGCTTTTCCAGTGTTAGAACAAACTGTACCAGGTGACACTGCTGACACAGGTCTCTGGACAGGGGCTAAAGCTAGGTCGCAGCAGGGACTCCTAGGACTTCAACACCCAGGGAGAGTTTTATAATCAGATACTGTCACTTCGAAGAAGCAGACAGAGCCATTCTCCCTATAGCTGTTAGGATTCAGTGCATCCGTGAATACTCCTACTACGTGTTCAGCAAAAGGCAGCTACCACCAACAGGTATGCTAATAGCTGCACCCCCCAGATGCCACTGGGAGCTCCACAGGGAGCTGGGATTGCCAGCCACCTCACTGTCACCCTGATGAAGTCCAGGGCTGGGGACGAGCATGCCTGTTGTGTTCCTGGCAGTGTGCCCACTGGGCAGCTGCCCTGGGAGGGTCTGCAGGAGAGCTGCTGCCAGTGGGCACTTTCCATGATGATTTTCTGGAGGGGCTTAATGTTGGACAGAAAACCACTTGAGCATGAAGGAAAGTAGCCACTCCTGAAGGCAGGCCAGGGCTGGCTGGGCAAGCTGAGTTGTCCTCAAATGGGCCCACCCTTAAGGACCCAGCAGACCTACGGCTAGTCACTGCCAGGGGTGGGCCATGCCACACAGAGGCCAGGGAGCTGCAGCTGGCCCGGCACCTACCTTGCTCAGGTACTCCCTCATCACCTGGATGAAGTAGGGCATGGCCAAGTTCATGAGGTTGTGCCTCCAAGCCAGCTCGAGCACCACATCTGGGCGAAGCAGGTCATAGCAGGTGAAGAGAGCGGCTGTGAAGCATTCCCTCTTGTCTTCCTCCAGGAACCACTGAAGCAACTTCTGGGCCAGCTCAGCATCCTGCGATTCTGCGGCATGCTGCATGGCATCCTGTAGCCAAGGCAAACGCTTGCTTGGGCATCCTGCAAGCAGAGGCCTTGTGCCTGCAGCAGCTGGACCAGCAGGGCAGGGAGTGGCGCCAGGCTCCACGAAGGCCTTCCTGCACTGTGGAGCAAGTCTGGACCCATGGCCGAGCCATTCCTGGCACCCTGCTGCCCACTGGTACCCCCTCCAGGGGCTGTGGAGGGGACAGAGCATGGTCCTCTTAGCCCCTGTGGAACTGCCTGCAGGTGGCTCACAGAGGCACAGGTGCCATGGGAGACAGGAACTCTGGCCCTGAGGGCAGAGGGCGTGCACAGGTTGCTGTGAGGCAGGCACTGATGGGGGTTTGGGGGTTGTTGGGGTGTTGCAGAGGTGTTGTGCTCAGGCCCATGGAGCATGACACCAGGGGAGCAGTCAGGAGGGATATGGCTACTGCTCTAGAAACAGCAATTTGCTTTGTCTTCAAGTGGCTCAAAAACCCCTAACTGCTATTTTCATCCTTGCAAATGCATTTGTCTAAGACAGTATCATTGATAACACATGCACCTGACCAGTCCTGACCAGCCTGCACTTTCTGTGGCCATTCTCTACTTTTTAGCCCCACAACAGGCACTGGATCATCTGACTCCAGCATGGCCCTCTGTGGCAAGGGCTATTAGTATTCCTTTCTGAGACCAGGAACCTGAGACCCAGATGAAATCAGGTACACAAGGCCACTCCACCTGGAGTTGGCCATGACCCACTGACAATGACCTGTGCTCTCCAAGGATACCCTGTGGCAGTCCCAGCTCCACATACCCGCCCTGCAGCACGTGCCTCTGAGTTCCGCTTGGAAGGCCCCTGAGGACGCCCAGTACCCACATCCGCATGGATCCAACATGCTGAGCTGGCTCCAGAAAGAACTCTCTCCTGTCGGCATGCTGCTCACCGAGCGCTACCTCCTGTCCCACACTGTTCCTACAAAGGCACCAGGATTCTGACCCTCAAGTGAGAGCTCCTGGTGCCTTTGGGTCGCCACTTTGAGGACCTGTGACACCTGCTCCCTGCCGTGCCCTCCACTGGCCCAACCTACCCTTGCTGACTTGTCCTCCACATGTGCTGAAAGTGGGCACCGCACTGTCCCTCCTCTGTGGGCCTCAGAGACTGTCTCACTGGCTTCCCAGAGGACTTCCAGTAGAAGCAGCCCCTGGGAAGCTCCCAGTCAGCCTCCTGCTCCTGCGGCCTGGAGCCAGCTCGAGTTAGGCACTCCCAAGTCCTCTTCTCTCATCGCCACCCTGGCCCATGCCACTCTCAGGGCAGCTCGATCCCGGTCCCATCCCTGTGTCCAGCTCTCCAGTCTACACCTGCAGGACCCTGCTCTTCACTGGTGAGTATAGGAGGGCCCCACTGACCAAGTTTTCATCTAAATGCTACTTCTGTCATCTGGAAATATGTTTTTCTGTTGCTGGATGGCTTTGCCCCTGACTGGACACACTGTGACCTGGCCACCCCCTCCAGGAAGACTCCAGGAGGCTTCATCTCTGGCCTCAGGGTAGGCTCCTTCAATGGCAGTGCTGACCTTGGGAGGTATGTGGGGGGAGCCACCTGTGCATCGGGGCTTGTGGGCCCCATCCTGCCTCTACCTCCTACATGTAGCACCACACCCTCAGCTGTGACAGCCAAACATTCCCTGGGGCTACAGTCACCCCTGGCTTAGAGCCACTGTATGCTCAGCTACTTTCTATCTGTGGCTTTGTCCTCTGGACTCTCTTCTGGGCCCACGTGGCTTGGAGTGGGTGGCTGGCAAGGCCAGTAGACCTCTGGCAGCACTTACGGCCCTGCTCACTCATCATTGCCTGAGTGTGGAGGAGGCTGTGTTTAAGCCCCTGACAGGGTCCACATGGGTGAGACAGACTGGCTGTGACCAGCCAGCTGAGGGTGGCCTTTCCTCAGTTGTGTCTGAGCCCAGCTGCCTCTTCCCAGAAGCCAGGTCCAGAGACCTCCACTTGGGGTCTCAGAGCCTCAGCAGCTTTTCCTTTCTGTTCCCTTTTCAGGAGCCCCTGTGGGCACCTCAGGAAGGACCACAAGCAGTGTCACTAAGGGCTGGATGTCACGGACACTCCAAAACACTGGAGGTGACAAAGTAAGGTCAAACACAATGCAACACTGATGCCAGGGATCACAGGCCTCCATGGAGTCCGAGCCAAGAGCCACAGCCCAGGAGCCATGAGAATGAAGCCCCTGTGCTGGACAAGAGGTGGCAGCTGTCCATGTGTCCTGGGAAGATACTCAGGAATGCCCAAGGCCAACTCCAGAAGTAACACCCTCAGGTCAAGTCCAGAGTCTCTGGGAACATGGAGACCTTGGGAATTGGCTCAGCTGTGTAACACAGCCCAAAGACCCTCTGGTACAACTCCACCTTACTCCCCGGGCAGATGTTCAGGCCAGGCAGAGGATGTTAATGCCTTCAGGGTCTTGGTGGTCCCTCCAGGCAGCCCAACCTGCCTGGCAGATGCCTGGACCCCAGTCGAAGAATGGTACTAAGATACCTCTTACCAGCAGAAAAACACATTCTTTTTTTTTTTCCCTCTCAAGTGATCCTCTCACCTCGGCCCCTAAAGTAGCTGAGACTACAGGTGTATACAACTGTACTCAGCTTTGAAACAAATGTTTTGAATGTGATTTTATTTTTTTCCTTTTTTTTTTTTTTTTCCAGACAGTGTCTCACTCTGTCACCCAGGCTGGAGTGCAATGGTGCGATCTTCACTCACTGCAACCTCCACCTCCTGGGTTCAAGCGAGTCTCCTGCCTTAGCCTCCCAAGTAGCTGGGATTGCAGATGTGCACCGTTATACCTAGCTAACTTTTGTATTTTCAACAGAGATGGGGTTTCACCATATTGGCCAGGCTGGTGTTGAACTCCTAACCTCAAGTGATCTGTCCGCCTTGGCCTCCGGATGTGCTGGGATTATAGGCGTGAGCCACTGCTGGGCCTTTGAATTTAATTTTAATTTAGGTTCTAAAATTCCTTGTTGCCTAGGGAGCAGTGGTGTGATCATAGCTCACTGCAGCCTCCGACTCCTGAGCTCAAGTGATCCTCCCTTCTCAGCCTCCCAAGTAGCTGGTACTAATATCCATCATTACACCCAGTGAAGTTTTTGGAAAGACAGGGTCTTGCCATGCTGCCCAGGCTGGTCTCAAACTCCTGGGCTCAAGCACGCCCCACCTCAGCCTCCCAAAGCACTGAGATTACAGGTAATTCCCCAAATCTTCATAGGAAGTAAAGTGGGTGCTAAGAAGTGAATCTTGCCACACTGTTTTGGTAGAGTGAAACTTACACAGAACTGCCACGAAAATAATCAACTCCATAAGGCTCTGTAAGTCTCTCAATCCAAACAATTTTTAAGGGGTTTTAGATCACTCTCAACTGTTACCCCATGTTCTAAATATGGTCTCCCCTTAACACCAATCCCACCACCCACCATGAGGATCTCCTGGTGAAGCTCAGAGCCAGGTCTCAGGAACAAGAGGGAAGGGGTGTGATCCCCAAAGCATCAGGAGGCACACTGAGGCGGAAGGGTGGAAGGAAACAGGGGCCCGGGACACCAACCTTGTAGAGATGATCCTTCTTGCAGAGCTCCACGCTCTGGGCCCACTGGTTATTGCCCTTGTACAGATAGGCCGCAATGCGCCTGAACTCCATCAGCTGGTGCTTCTCCAGCCGCTGAGCCAGGCTGATGTTGTCAAAGTTGTCATAGGCATCGATAGATGCCCTTAAGCCCTAGGAAGATAGCCTTTGAGGGATGGGACACTGATAGGGGCTGCCTGCACATAGAGCAGGCACATTGTGTTACTTGATGGCTGTTGCTATCACCATGGCCTTAGAAAGGCCCCTACCCATATATCCACTGGTGTCCCATAGGGCCTGCACACCCTCCTGTGCAAAAGCAGCCTGCTTTGAGAACAGAATGGCAGGTGCAGGGGATGAGCTCAGCCCACCCGGGATAGGGCTCCCTCCTGCACACCCACCTGATAGTCCTCCTCCTCTGTCAGCAGGTGGTTGAGTGCCTCATTCACACTCTTGTTGTTGTGGCTCTGGACTGACCGCAGGTAGGGTTTCACCAGGGGCAGCTGACCTGCCTGACAAGTTGGGGGAAACATCAAGGCACTTGGCCAAGCTTGTTCTGGGGATACTAGGCAGGGGTACAGGTGGGCACATGCATGCCATCCACTTGAATAGGCCAGCTCTGGAGCCTGGGGCACTTTCTGGACACTTGGAACCAAAAGGCCTATACTCACACAAAGAGGACTGTCTGGGCCATTCAGTGGATGCCAATGTCACCATAGACACTCACACCTCAAAGACACTGTGGTTTGGTTCCAGACCACCACAATAAAGTGAATATTTCAATAAAGTGAGTCATATTAACTAACGTTTATGCTGCAGCATGTTAAGTGTGTAACAGCATTACGTCTACAGAAACAGAGTACACACCTTAATTAAAAATGCTTTATTGCTAAAGAATGCTAACAATCACCTGAGCCTTCAGTGAGCTGTAATCTTTTTGCTGGGGAGGGTCTTGCCTTAATGCTGATGGCTGCTGATTCATCCAGGTGGTGGCTGCTGAAGGCTAGAGAGGCTGTGGCAATTTCTTTTTCTTTCTTTCTTTTTTTTTTTTTGAGATGGGGTTTTGCTCTTACGCTCAAGCTGGAGTGAAGTGGTCCAATCTCGGCTCACTGCAATCTCTGCCCCCCAGGTTCAAGTGGTTCTCCTGCCTCAGCCTCCTGAGTAGCTGGGACTATAGATGCCCACCACCACGCCTGGCTGATTTTTATATTTTTAGTAGAGATGGGGTGCCTCCATGTTGGCCAGGCTGGTCTCAAACTCTTGACCTCAGGTGATCTGCCTGCCTTGGCCTCCCAAAGTGCTAGGATTGCAGGCGTGAACCACTGTGCCTAGACAGCAATTTCTTTTTTTTAAGATGGAGTCTCGCTCTGTTGCCCAGGCAGGTACAGTGGTGCGATCTCAGCTCACTGCAACCTCTGCCTCCTGGGTTCAAACGATTCTCCCGCCTCAGCCTCCTGAGTAGCTGGGATTACAGGTGCACATCACCATGCCTGGCTACTTTTTGTATTTTCAGTAGAGATGGGGTTCCACCATGTTGGTCAGGCTGGTCTTGAACTCCTGATCTTGTGGTCCACCCACCTCAGCCTCCCACAGTGCTGGGATTGCAGGCATGAGCCACTGTGCCCAGAAGGCAATTTCTTAACATAAGACCTCAGTGAGGTTTGCCTCACTGACTGACTCTTCCTTTTATGTAAGACCACTCTGGACTTGTGTTGCATAAGACAAAAACAAACAAAAAGACTGCTCTGCAGCATGCAGTGCTCTTCAGTAGCATTGTACTCACAGTAGAACATCTTTCAAAATTGGCCTCAGTGCCAACCTTGCTGCTGCTTTATCAACTAAGTTTATGTACTATTCTAAATCCCTTATAGTAATTTCAACAATGTTCACAGCATCTGCCCCAGGAGTAGATTCTATCTTAAGAAACCACTTTATTTGCTCATGCCTAAGAAACAAGTCCTCATCTGTTTAAGTTTGATCCTGAGATTGCAGCAATTCAACCTCTTCTTCAGGCTCCACTTCTAATTCTAGTCCTCCTGCTGTTTCTACCACATCTGCAGTGACTTCTTCCACTGAAGTCCTGAACCCTCAAAGTCATCCAGGAGGGTTGGAATCCACTTCTTCCAAACTTCTGTTAATATGGAAATTTTCCTTATATAATGATGTCTTATTTATTTTCAACTTTTTGTTGATACATGATAGTTGTGCAAATTTATTGGACAACTATCATGTATCAATAATATCAATATTACATATGGACAACATATGTGATATTCTGATACATGTACACATGTGGAATGATCAAATCAGGGTAATTAGGATGTCCATCACCTTAAGTATTTATCATTTCTTTGTGTTGGGAACATTCTCTTCTAGCTATTTTGAATGCACAATAATTTTTTTTTTTTTTGAAACAGAGCTCTGTTGCCCAGGCTGGAGTGTAGGGGCATGATCTTGGCTCACTCAACTTCTGCCTTCTGGGTTCAAGTGTTTCTCTTGCTTCAGCCTCCCAAGTAGCTGGGATTATAGGTGCCTGCCATCATGCCTGGCTAATTTTTTGTATTTTTAGAAGACACAGGTTTCACCATGTTGGCCAGGCTGGTCTCAAACTCCTGACCTCAGGTGATCTGCCTGCCTCAGCCTACCAAATTGCTGGGATTACAGCATGAGCCACTGTGCCTGGCCTTGAAATGCACAAAAAATTATTGTTAAGGACAGTCAACTGACTGCTATAGAATACCACAACTTATTCTTTCTTCTTTTTTTCTTTTTTTGAGATGGAGCCTCCCTCTGTGGCCCAGGCTGGAGTACAGTGGTACAATCGCAGCCTAATGCAACCTCCACCTCCTGGGTTCAAGCGATTCTCCTGCCTCAGCCTCCCAAGTAGCTGGGACTACAGGTGCCTATCACCACGCTGGGCTGCTTTTGTATTTTCAGTAGAGACGAGGTTTCACCATGTTGGCCAGGCTGGTCTCAAACTCCTGACCTCGGGTGATCTGCCTGCCTTTGTCATTTGCCCTCCTTGGCCTCCCAAAGTGCTGGGATTACAGGCATGAACCACCATGCCTGGCCATTAATTAGCCTAATTTCTTTTTTTTTTGAGACAGAGTCTCACTCTCTTGTCCAGGCTGGAGTATAGTGGTGTGATCTCTGCTCACTGCAACCTCTGCCTCCTGGGTTCAAGTGGTTCTCCTGCCTCAGACTCCTGAGTAGCTGGGATTACAGGCAGCTGCCACTGTGCCCGGCTAATTTTTTAATTTTTAGTAAACATGGGGTTTCACCATCTTGGCCAGGCTAGTCTTGAACTCCTGACCTCTTGATCCACCTTCCTCAGCCTCCAAAAGTACTGGGATTACAGGCGTGAGCCACTGTGCCCAGACTGATTAGCCTAATTTCACTGTTGTTTTGTCTCAGGGAACAGGGACGCCCAAGGAGAGGAAGAGGGACCAGGGCATGGCCAGTCAGTGGAGCATTCAGAACACACACAACATTTATCCATTAAGTTTGCCTTCTTATAGGAGCTTCCCTAAACAATTACAATAGTAACATCAGAGATCACTGGTTGTGTGCACTGGCTCAAACCTGTAATCCCAGCACTTGGAGGAGGCCAAGGCAGGAAGATTTCTTGAGGCTAGGAGTTTGAGATTGCAGTGAGCTATGATCACACCACTGTACTCTAACCTGGGCAGCAGAGGACTGTCTCAAAAAAAAAAAAAAAAAAAAAAAAAAAAAAAAGATCACTGATCATAGATCACTATAACATATATAATAATGACAAAATTTGAATTATTGTGGGAATTCCTAAAATGTGACACAGAGACACAAAGTGAGCACACGCTGTTGGAAAAAGGTGCTGACAGACTTGCTCATTGCAGGGTTACAATCCTCCAGTCTTTTAAAAATCACAGAATTTGAGACGCACAATAAAGTGAAGTGTGATACGAGAGGTATCCTTGTATCTGAAACCTAACAGAGTTTGATACACTGGTGAATCTTCAAGTTGGCTAGGGGTCATTTCAGAAACTCTACAAAGGTGCTGTCATTCAGATAACTTTGTCAGAGCTAGCCCAATACACTCTTCTACCCGGGGTTTTGGCTGACTTACCTTTGAAAAGAAACTGACTGTCCGGGTGTGGTCTAGCCGGGAGGACAGCACCAGCAGCAGGTCATTGATGAGGAGTGGTTTGTAATCCAAATAGAACTGCAGGGCTCTGTAACATAGTTCAACGTTGGCAACCTGGTGGGAGGAACAAAGCTGAGGGTCAGTCCCTGCCCCTGTGTCCAGACACCCCAGGGCTCCTTCCAGGTTTTGCTCAAACGGCACTTTACTACTGAGGCCTGCCACGACCACCCCCTTAAGACTCAATGGCTCGTGAATGTGCCTCCTTGCATCCCTGAGGTATTTTTCCCCCTAGCACTGACACACCAAGCATTTTTCTTCAGAGGCCAGCCTCAGGGTTCCCTGCCTCAACCCAGCACCCACACTGGTATCTGATGCAGAGTCGATGCACAACCAGTATCTGCTGAATGAATGAATGAATGAAGTGTAATCAGCCAGAATAGAGCCCAACAGCAAAACCAAACAACACTGTATCTTTCCATCCAAGCAAGATTACCCCAGCCTTCCTTTTGAAGGCTCAGCCTGAGCTGTAACCAAGTGGACAGCACATCCTGTGACATCCCCAGAACTTTTCAGCTGAAACACTGTGGTGCTCAGAACCTGGGTGAGACCTGATGGCCAGCCCAGGCAAAGCAGACCATGCTAAGTGGACCCTGTGCCTGTCCTCCTGGGTCTCGAGGTCTGGCCAGGCTGCTTTGTCTCAGCACTTTCCCCACTGGTCTGCCACCATTCTCTTGTTTGGCGATGTCATTTGGTGGCTTGCTGACTGTGGCATCGATGTCCAAGGCCTGCACACAGCTCTGCTGTTCAGGGAACATGCCAGCATGGCCATGAACCAAGCCAGTGGTGGTAAGTGTGTCTGTGCGAGTGTGGGGGGACCTGGGGTATGTGCAGGGCACAGCTGGAGCTAAAGCCATGCTGGGAGCCTAGGGTGCTCACCATTGGAGACTCCAGCACCGCTAGGTTTGGGTAACCTGGCAAAAATGTGGGACCCGGTGAGGTCTTCTGACTAAGAGGCAGACACAGAGTGTCCTCATGGCCCCTCTATGGCTTACTGACCACTTCAGGGTCTCTGCTTTTTCCTTCTCTTGCCCTTTTGTGCTAGAGCACTCACCGTCACCAGAGATTCTGACCCAGACAGGCAGCAAGGTCCCTAGTACCCACCCCCATGGATGCAGAGCAGAATGGTGACCTGGCCTCATCACAAAGCTTCACCTGTGGCACTGGTGAGCCCCCAGACTCAGCCACAGGCCACTGTGGGTCCACTCATGTCAGAGCTCTAGGATCTGTCAGCCTTCCAGGCTGGCCCTTTACTCGGCAGCAGCAGGGCCAGGTCAGAGGGTCTCAACCAGACATCTAACAAAAAGAAGGGCGGTCAGGATGTGATGTGGGGCTGAGGGGGCGGGTAGGGACCCAAGCTCACCTTCTGTGGTGAGTCGCCTCAAAGCACCACCTGCTTCCCTACCAACTGCAAGGCTCCTTGGGCCTCCCTTGAAGGAGAGGAACCATCTGAAGACAAGCCCATTTCACTGAGGCTCTTCGGGGCATCATGTGAGTGGGCAGACTTGATGTGGGGCACCAGCAGTCCTGGCTTCTCTTGTGGGACACCTGGGACGATGTGTGCTTTGGGCTTTTTGAACAGGTCCATGCAGCATGGCCGGAACACCATTTAAGGCGGAGCACAATTGCCACGTTCTCACCCAGTTCCTCTGGTGCTGAGGCCTTCGAGGGACACGCACATCTCTGCTGGGTTAAGCTGCTGGGATCTGGAGTCCTCTGCACCACAGGAGGAATCAGGGGCCCTCTGGAGTGTCCTCCAGATCCAAGCTTAGAGACAGTATGGGGCGAGTCCATCAGCCATGTGCCAGGACACGGAACACTGGCAGGCCCATGCCCACTAGCACGGTCAGCTAGCACCCCAGAAGACATGGTAGTATCCCTGTTTTATAGATGAGAAAACTGAAGGCCAGGAGCGGTGGCTCATGCCTGTAATTCTAGCACTTTGGGAGGCCAAGGCGGGTGGATCACCCAAGGTCAGGAGTTAGAGACGAGCCTGGCCAACATGGTGAAACCCTGTTTCTACTAAAACTACAAAAATTGGCCAGGCATGGTGGCATGTGCCTGTAGTCCCAGCTACTCAGAAGGCTGAGGCAGGAGAATCGCTTGAACCCGGGAGGCGGAGGTTTCAGTGAATCGAGATTGTGCCACTGCACTCTAGCCTGGGCAACAGAGCGAGACTGTGTCTTAAATAAATAAATAAATTTTAAAAAATTAAAAATAAAAAAAAAGAGAAAACTGAAGCTCAGATTTCATCACAGGCTCCAGGTTGGCCGGCCAGTGTACTATGCTGCATGACCCACAAGAAGCGCCCACTGGATGCCAGGCACCTGCTATGGTCCACTTGGCCAGGAGGAAACATGAGGTCCATTGTATTCATGGGATAACGAGGTTCACAGCAGTGACACCCTAACCCACATGGAGAGAGACAGTGAATGGCTGAGCTGGGGTACCCCCTGTTTGAGTTAGCAAGGCCCCCTGCTCAGGCTGCCACTGCCTAGCCTGTGGCCCAGCCCTGTGGCTAAGTGGATTCCAAAGCACCTGCTATCGTGTACCCTAAATACAGACTGCTGTCACCCATCTGACTGGCCCCTGCACCAGTGAGTGTCCTCCTGTCCCCTTCACACCTGAGCTGACAGTGTCTGTCTCCCACATGGCAGTGTGTAGTAGAAGCATGGGTCACACTAGGAACTGGACCTGGCCATCAGCCCTGCAGGCAGCAGATGGGAGATGTTGTTCTTGCACACAGTGAGTCTCAGCTGTCCTGCTATTATTTTACATGCCACTAAGAAACAAAATAATGGCCACTTCCACCATGGCTCGGCAATTTTTAAAAACACCCTTGTATCAGAGGAGTTAAAATGTGAATAAAGTACACACAGGATTGATTAAGTATGGATTTTCCAGCACACAGACATATCTACAAAGCACCAGCCATACGTGCCAGGCCATGGTAAGGTGTGAGCTGGCTGCACTCCCTCCAGTAACCTGCAGACTCCGCTCAGGGTGGGACGCCCTGGCAAAGGCCCCCGCCTTCATGCACCACCATGCCCAGTAACACGGATGTCCTCCAACAAGAAGCTCTGGTGTGTGGCCTGGTGCTCAACACTGGGGTCCTTCAAACAGTTCCCAGGAAAGGCAGAGGCTGAAGGCCTCACCCTGCAGCCCACCTGCCACTCATAGCCACCCTCAGTCGCCGCATGTGGAAAAGAAGGCGCATGAGAGAGGCCACAGCTCACTGCTGTGCTGCTCCAGTCACAGCAGACAGTGATAAGTCAGTCACTCAAGGACCATGGCACAAAGTGCAGATACCCAATGCAAAGGGATGGGGGCCGAGGATAGAGAATTCCAGCCCCTTCACCAAAGTCACACACAGTGCTGGAGAGAGTGAGTCCTGAGGTTGAACTCCCTAAGAGACCAGAAACAAAACAACAAAGGCTCACTTGACCATGGTACCCAAACCCGACACCACCCAAAAGTGTGGCGGCTAGCAGAGGAACTTGGGTCCCGGTTTAGCCCAGGGAGGCTACAGGATGGAGGCCCACTCCCAGACAGGTAAGGCCAAAGGTCCCAGCAGCCTTGGGCTCCTTCACCCCCTAGGAGTGTTTACTGTGCCTCTCACAGGTGCCTGCACTCTTCCTCCAGGGCTGGCAATTTTGCAGGAAGAGACATGAATTTTAAAAATGGTCTGATGGTGAAAAACAACCACAGGAAGCGGGGCTGGGAGCCTTGAGCTGATAGGGCAGAAGGAAGAGCAAACCAAGGCCTGGCCACAAGGGCGTAGTGTGGTGGGAGGGGCAGGTAGGGCTGCAGGGCTTCAGGGCCATGGCTGCATGCTGGCCTGACCCTGTCCACAGCTTAGCTGTGAGGCCCTGGACAGGTCACCTGCTCTTCCTAAGTGTCAGTTTCCTTCACAGATGGAACTACCACCACTTGCCCAGAGGGTGGTGGACTCATACAAGTGAACGCACACACGGCATGGGGGCATACTGGCACTCAATCCACTCCCGCCTGTCCATTCCCCACACCCAGAATAGGGCCTGGCAGGAGCCAGTGCTCTGTGTCCCCTCTTACCTTGGCAATGAGGTCCTTGAACTGACCCCCCTTCCAGGCCTCGGTGGGGTGGCTCATCATGGTGAGCACGGCATTGTCATACTCCTCGTATTTGTCATAGAGGAACACCAGCTCAGCCCACAGGTGCGCCTGTTCTGCAGCCTTCAGCACCTGGACAGGGAGGCCAGGGTCGTCTTGTGCCGCATGTGGCCACAGCCGCCAGACTGCAAGGAGCAAACGGTACCTTTGGGATGTTGACACGGGACCAGAAGAGCTCCAGGTGCTCCAGCATCTTCTGTGGCTTGAATTTGGAGTAGAGGATGGCCAGTTCTGTGAACATGCCCATGTGGGCCTGCTCCAAGCCCAGGGCCGCTTCCAGCAACAAGATCAGCTCCTCAAAGTAGCCGCGATCCTGAAAGACCAATAGCCACATGTGGGGCAGAGTGATTGCACACGTCCCACAGCCACCCTCCAGCCCATGCCCACACTGCAGGGACCCTCCAGCCCATGCCCACACTGCAGGGACTGTGCTGGTAACTGGGAATGATCCTGAGGAGCCACGTGTGAAGAAAACGTGTGCACATGCTGTGCTACAGACCATGCCATTCACTTAGCAACTTACTGGATCATCTGACAATTACCAGTAGCACACTTCACTACAATTTTCAAGTTTAGTGAGTGCAGATTAGTAACACCATTTTTATGAAAAGAAATAGAAAAAGAAAAAAAAAAGGAAGTGGGTGTAATGGTGTCTGAGAATGATTGGTTTTAATCCCTTGCCACAGCTCATGACTGAGATCCTGGCTCCAACAAGCCTTCCACTCCACTCACGATGCCAGGCCGCTGCTGTTTCACTGTGTCCCTAATTATGATGGCCGGCCCCTTGCATTTAGCCCCACGCCCCTCTGTCATGCTCCCTAGACAAGACCAGATGTCTGGTTACACCCTGCTCAGCATGCAGAAACCCTGGAGAAACACCCAGTAACGAGACCCTCTCCCTTTAACGCCCACACCCCTGGGAGAGAGGGCCCAACCTAGAGGAGTGCCTCACACCTCTTGCTTTCCCAAGGAGGACACCCTTCTGTGCCCCCTCCACTCTCAGGCTAACCTCATTTCTCCATGGCACACTTGTCTGCTGGCAACATCCGCACCCCCCAATCAGCTATAGACAAGCCGCCTGTGCTTCTGTCTAGAACCTGCCCAGCCCGCAGCTCCATCCCACCGGCTCGCCTACCAAGGCCATTGCTCTGGTGACTCCTCCTTTCTCTTTTGCCTTATCTTTTCTCTCCACAGCTGGGTGCAGCGAGCATCCCGCTAATCCTCTTGTCCTAAACGCTTCCTCTCGACCCCATGGCCCTGCCAGCTACTATCCCATTTTTTCTACTTCCATTTGCAGCAAAAACTCTTCAAAACAACTGTTCCCATTCCTCTCCAGCCACCATCAGGCTGAGTCTGCCCCAAGCTCCACGTCACGGGCAGCCCCCTGGCCCTGCCATCCTGCTGTCTGCCTAGCAGCAGGCCCTGGCCCTGCTGACCGCTCCCTCTTCCCCAGTGCATCCAGAAGCCGGCACACTCTCTGGGTTTTCTTCCCACTGTACTGGCTGCTCCTGCTCTCTTCCTCAGCCCACCCCTGCTGGGCAGTCCCCAGGGGATGAGTGAAGGTGGAGAGGCAGACTGGATCATCTACATGTCAGCATCTCCCGGTTCACTGCTCTAGCTGGGCTCCTCTGCGGAGCTCCAGAAGTGTCTCCAACTGCCTACATGATGCTCCCACCTCAGCATCCAGTGGGCAGCTCAAGACTTAGCACCATGTGTCCAAAAAGTAATTCCTGTCCTTCCCTTCCACGCCGTACCTTCAGTCTTCCCCTCATCCACTGGTGATAACTCTGTATTTCTACTCATCCAAGCCAAAACCAAACAGAGTTATCCTTGGCTTTTCTCTCTCACTCCACATCAGGGCATTAGCATATCAAGGTGGCTGCTCATTCAAAGCATACATCCAATCCTGATGGCCTGATCACCTCTGACCCTGTCACCACCACCCTTAGAGTCACTGTCCCTTCTCGCCTAGACCACTGTAACAGCCTCTAGCCGCTCTCCCAGCTCCTGTCCCTACTCCTCAAGTATTGGTCTCACCACATGAGCCACCATGATCCTTTTACTTCTTGACAGCCCTGCACCCATCCCAAGTACAGCCCGTGTCCTTCCTATCAGCCTGAGATCTGGCCCTCTGTTAGCCTCCCTGCCCCATCTCTGGCTCCAGCCCCTTCCTTGAATACACAGCACATTCCTGCCTCAGGACTCTGCCTGGGCACTGACCCTTCCCTCAAATGTCCGTGTGACCATATCCTTCCATTTTTTCAGGTTTTTGCTCAAATGTCACCCCCTCAATTGGTGCTACCTCAATTGCCCCTTTATTAAACTGCACCCAGGCACTCCAATGCCCTCAAACCGGCTCCATTTTCCTGTATAACTCATCACCTTCAAACACACGATATCATTATTCGTTAGGTTTGTTGCTTGCCTGCCAACCTTGCTGAATGCCAACTCAATTACATAGAGGCTTTTCTGTTTTGCCCACTGAATAAATTATTGAGAATAATGCCCAGCACATAGTAGACACTCAAATATTTGCTGACTAAATTGTTCTTTTGTCAGCACTGGACTACTTGATTACCCTCCCTGTTGGCTTTCCAATTCATTTCTCAGGCGCCTCTCCAGGGTAGGAAAGTGTTTCTCATCGAAAATCCATCATACTTAGCCTGATAACTGGACACTGTGGTGCTGGTGTGAGCCCCTCCAGTCGACGTCTCACACAGTGAGGGGGTTGGCACTCAAGTTCCATGGCCATGGTGACACTGCTGAGCAGATTTGCATCCCATCTTCGTCTGCCTTGACTAACCACACCTGGTGTGTCACGTGGCTCTAGGAATTCCACAGGTGGAAACCCAGGCCCCTAAACACACAAATCACTGTCTACCAACCACTCAAGAGAGCCTACTTACAGCATGAACACACAAGGCCCCACCCTTCCAAAGGTCCTTCCCTCTCTTGCACATGCTTTGTCCCTAAGGCACTTGATAAACATGCCCCCTGGGACTACACACTGTGGGAACTAGGCTACGGCCTAGAGCTCTGCCACCACCAGCCCAGTATTCTCAGCAAGTTATCCAAAGGTTGTTCCCATCATGCAAGCCACTGACTGGCTTCTGAAGGCCCAATAACACAAGAGAATGGAAAGAGCTTTAAAAACACAAAATTCCAGCCAGCCATGAGGTCGAGGATCGCCAACAAGACAATCAAATTTAGTTTATAAATGACCAACTAGTACATGAATCTTCCTCTCAGAGGCCATGCTTCATATCTGCAGATGCAGCACTGTGACGGTCACATGCTAAGGGGATGACCGTGCCTTTGTATGGAGTGTTTAGGCATCACCTGTCATCTGCATTACCAGCAGAGAGCATGTCGTCACCTGGTAATAGCACATCAGCTCCTCCAGCTCAACTGCATGAATGACGATGTGAAGACCACACAGCTGAGCGAGAGGAAACTCCTGTCCATCCACGCAGGCAAAGCACACCTAGGGGATGGAGTGTCAGCGTGAGGGTCCCTAAGACAGGACATGGCACCACAGCAGCTGACTTACAAGTGACACAGCTGCAAATGCAGAAATATCAGCCAGTGGGGTGTTTTAAGTTGGATTCTGAACAAGTAGCTAACTCTAAGATGAACTGTACAAGATGGGGAGAAAAAATAATGACATTTATAATCTGCAGGCCAAGGGGGTGCTCAAGACCATGGAAAGAACGTTTGTGCATTACTTCTTAGGCCCTGAGTTTTGTTTAGGTGGCAGGAAAGTCATACTGGAATTTCAGGTTTGGGGTTTGAAAAGGAAGGCTAAAAAACAAGGATCATCAGAGTGTATCTCATCTGAGTGCTGTTTTCATGGCAGAACTTGCTTTAAATCTTTTTTAGACTGCTTTTCTTTTCTGCACTGCACGGTATGAATACTTAATGATAACAAGCCTTGGGAAGTGCAGAATTCTCCTGTGCAGAGAGGCCCTTCTCTGTGCTTCCTGAGAAGGCTGACAAGACCAACCCTGCACCACGGAGCTGGAGGGCGTGCAGTTTCCCTACTTCCTCCAGCTGCTATACACAGCACATGTTCCCAAGGTAGAGAAAGCAGAATGTGCAGATAAACAATAAATAACCACGTAAACCAGTGTCATTAACTTGAGATCTAATCTTTGGCCCACTGTTTCCTGTGTGTGATATGTACACCAGCATCCTGACGTATCTCACACACGCACATGGAATTACATCATACATTCTGCATGATGACGTACTCCATAATATTGGCAACATCTTTTCCTGCAACTCTGCCTATTCATTTTGAACAGCAGGGTAGAGTTGTAATGCATGCATTAACAAAGGCCTTGACATTGGACCTTTAGGCTAATCTTAAGCTTTTATTAAACAATGTTGTTTTGCATATGTCTTCAGTTTTTTCTACCTAAAGATGATTCTGATATTATCAGAGAGCCTTGAGAAAATTTACCAATTTGCCACAAAGGACCAATAATGTAAATTTACATTGATTGTGCAAATACATGATTAAAAAGTGTTAGAAAATACTTAGAATACTGATAATTCTATGCTATTAAGGCTGCCTCTGGGGGCCAACTGGTCTAACATGGGGTTCTCCAGGGCCTCTGTTCCAGCTACAAACACTAGCTTAGAGGCTCTGAGAATCCCAAGGGTTCGGACCCCTGCCTGGGCAAGAGATTGGTACCCAGGCTCATCCCACATGGCAGAAGAGTACTGAGCAGAACACAAGGGACATGGAGAGCACACCTGTCCAGAGCACACTCTGCCTTCTGCAGACGCCCGCAGCTCACCTCCTTCCACGTCCGGGTGCTGCTGGCCTTGCGGCTGTTGTCCACTGCTGCCTGATACTCACCGAGGTGAACCAAGGTGGAAGCCAGGCGAGCAAAGTTAGAAACATTGCTATAGAGCAGCTTGGCAGCCTCGTACATGCCCTCCTCGTAACAGCGGTCTCCAACCTATGGATAACAGGGTAGCTCAACTGAGACACTCTTCAATGAGAAGATTTCTCCAGAGCTGCTTTTTAAGTTCCTAGACGGCAGAGGTATTTTTCTGTTTGCTAGGGCAGTAAGCATCTTTCTGATCGCACTCGTGACCAGATGAAGTTGGCTTTGGCTTCCCAGTCCCTGGCCAACCTCCTCCACCTCAAGGGGCGCTTCTACCTGCCTGTTCCTGCGTAACCCTGCATTCTGGCACCTCTCAGGCCCTGGCTGTCACCTTCCACTTCTGCACCCCACAGGGCCTGGGCTGAGGAGGTGTGCTCCTTGCTGCATCCAAGTTGTTCCCCTTCCTCCCCAATAAAAACCATTGACAACCAGTCTTGTGTCACTCACCAGCCCTAGTTCCTGATGCCATTTACAAATCTTATTCTCTGGAAATTGATTTGACTTCCTATGCTCTGGGGACCTTGTTCTGCGCACAACAACAAGGCACTACCATAGCCATACCTTACACCTCAGAAGGGAGCTGCCAGGCCTGGGAATCTGTCACAAGTACCTAGTCTGCCTAGTGCCACCTAGCTTACCATCCTGAGCACCTCAACTTCATTAGTCCAGTGACTGGACTGAATTCCCATAGCCCTGTCCAAGCCCAACTTGCGCTTGCCCCAGCTGGCAGCTCCAGATCATGCTGGGCAGCTCCTGGCACTCATCCTTGACTATACTGATTGTTCTCAGTCCTGCTCACAGCTAGTTCTCTGCCCATCCCACACCTGTGGCTGCTAAACACAGCAGAACCCAAGCATGCTGATGGGTCTCCCTAAATTCATGAAGGCTAACATCGGATGGGCTGGCAACACTACCCATCCTATTTCCGTCATCCATGGCACCTCCCCCACCATCCCTACTTCTGTCATCCACGGCACCTCCCCCACCACTCCTACTTCTGTCATCCATGGCCTCTCCCCTACCAGTCCTACTTCCATCGTCCATGGCACCTCCCACATCACCCCTACTTTTGTCATCCATGGCACCTCCCCCACCATCCCTACTTCTGTCATCCATGGCACCTCCCCCACCATCCCTACTTCTGTCATCCACAGCACCTCCCACATCACCCCTACTTCTGTCATCCATGGCCTCTCCCCTACCAGTCCTACTTCCATCGTCCATGGCACCTCCCACATCACCCCTACTTCTGTCATCCATGGCCTCTTCCCTACCAGTCCTACTTCCATCGTCCATGGCACCTCCCACATCACCCCTACTTTTGTCATCCATGGCACCTCCCACATCACCCCTACTTCTGTCATCCACAGCACCTCCCCCACCCCTACTTCTGTCATCCATGGCCTCTCCCCTACCAGTCCAACTTCCGTCGTCCATGGCACCTCCCACATCACCCCTCCTTCTGTCATCCAGAGCACCGATCCTACCACCACTCCTCCCGTCATCCACAGCACCTCCCCTACAACCCTTACTTCCGCCATCCATGACATCTCCTGCACTACCCTACTTCCATCATCCATGGCACCTCTTGCACCACCCCTACACTTCTGTCATCCATAGCAGCTCCCCTACCATGCTCTTCCTGAGAAAACAAACTATCAAGAGAGGCTTTCACAGCACAGAGTCCATGGATGTCCTTCCTATGCCACCAAGGCCTGCTCCATGGATGCCCATGACTCTCTCTCTCCACATGCTCCATGTCAGGGTTTCAGCAGACCCCTGCATCCGCATCACCTTCTGCACTCATCCACTCTGACAAGTTTAACGAACCACTGTTCTTTTCTCTAGTTTAAAATAAAACAAAACTTGCCGGGCACGGTGGCTCATGCCTGTAATCCCAGCACTTTGAGAGGCTCAGGCAGGTGGATCACTTGAGGTCAGGAGTTCGAGGCTAGCTTGGCCAACATGGTGAAAGCCCATCTCTACTACAAATAGAAAAACTAGCTGAGCACGGTGGCAGGTGCCTGTAATCCCAGCTACTCAGGAGACTGAGGCAGGAGAATGGCTTGAATCTGGGAGACAGGGGTTACAGTGAGCTGAGATCACACCATTGCACGCTAGCCTGGGTGACAAGAGTGAAATTCCATCTCAAAAATAAATAAATAATAAAATAAAACAAGATGAACCCAACTCGCTCTTGCCCTCAACTTACCCAGGGGCTGTAAGCCTATTTCCACGCGTCCCAACAGAGCATAGTTCTCAGAGGGTATCTGTGTGTCTGTAAGAGCCGAGCCCTGTCTCAAGTTTTACCTTTAATTGTTTCATCTGGAATTTTACTTGGATATAGAATTATGTGACGAACTTTTAACACCTTTCAAAACTTTAACCTAATTTCCAACTTTTTTTTTTTTTTTTTTTTTTGAGACAGGGTCTCACTCTGTTACCCAGGTTGGAGTACAGTGGCATGATCACGGCTCACTGCAGCCTCAACTTCCCAGGCTCCAGTGATTCTCCCACCTCAGCCTCCCAAATAGCTGGGACCACAGGCTGCACCACCATGCCTGGTTAATTTTTTTATTTTTGGTAGAGATGGGGTTTCTCCATTTTGCCTGGGCTGGTCTTGAACTCCTCACCTCAAGTAATCCATCTGCCTTGGCCTCCCCAGGTGCAGGGATTACAGGCCCTATACCCCTTTATTTTCTTTTTATTGTTTGTTTGTTTTTCAAAGACAGGGTCTTGCTCTGTTGCTTAGGCTGCAGTCCGGTGCCCCAATCACAGCTCACTGCAGCCTTGACCTCCTGAGCTTAAGTGATCTTCCTACTTCAGCCTTCCAAGTAGCTGTGGCTATAAGCACATACCTCACACTTGGCTAGTATTTTTTAGTTTTTTTGTAGAAATGGGGGTCTCACTATGTTGCCCAGGCTGGTCTTGAACTCCTGGGCTCAAGTGATCCTCCCACCTCTATCTCCCAGAGTTGGGATTAAAGACATGAGCCACCATGCCCAGCCCCAACAACTACTTGGAACTTATTTTGAAATAAAGAGCTCAAAGTTCACTTTGTTGTTATTTTTTTTCTTTTTCCTTTTGAGAGTTGGGGGTCTCATTAAGTTGCTCAGGCTGGTCTTGAACTCCTAGGCCCAGGAGATCCTCCTACCTCGGCCTCCCAAAGTGCTGGGATTGCAGGCATGAACTACTGCTCCTGGTCCACTTTGTTGTTATTTATTTCAATAAATTGTGTACATTCCTCCAAGAAGAGTGCACTTATAATTAATATAGAGTTACAATACATTCCATCATCTCTTCATGTCTCTTTATCATGTTTTCCAGGGGTAACATTTTATCTACATGGCAGACTTCACAATTATTTAGATCTTTTATTTATGTTTAAGGTTTAAACATTTTGGCTTTACTCCTATTAAAAAAGGAATCTTTTCTTCTCCATTATGTTATCTGATTATTGGTGGCATAAACAAAAGCTGTTACTTTTCTTTTTGAGACAGAGTCTCGCTCTGTCGCCCAGGCTGGAGGGCAGCAGTGCAACCTCGGCTTACTGAAACCTCCACCTCCCGTGTTCAGGCAATTCTTCTGCCTCAGCCTCCAGAGTAGCTGGGACTACAGGCACGCGCCACCATGCCCAGATAATTTTGGTATTTTTTAGCAGAGATGGGGTTTTGCCATGTTGACCAGGCTGGTTACAAACTGTGACCTCAGGTGATCTGTCCGCCTCATCCTCCCAAAGTGCTGGGATTACAGGCGTGAGCCACCATGCCTGGCCTATTAATTTTCAACATATATTTTATGCATCCAGATTATTAACTCTGACACAATTAATTTGTTTTCTTGTAAGTAAACTTATATACACCTGGATGTAAGTCTTCCCATCTCTTCTAGGAGAATCATTCTGATGTGTACAGCCAAGGGCATGTCAAAATTCCATGAGTCTCAATTTCCATACCAATAATAGCAACAGGTTACTTACTTGCTAGTGTGGCTTGCTTCTCACCACCTTTATCTGCATCACACTAAGGCAGGGGCCCCCAACCCCCATGCCACAGAATGCTGCTGGTCTGTGGCCTGTCAGGAACTGGGCCCCATAGCAGGAGGTGAGCCGCAGGCAAGCGAGTGAAGCTTCATCTGTATTTACAGCTGTTCCCCATTGCTCACATTGCCGCCTGAGCTCTGCCTCCTGTCAGATCAGCAGTGGCATTAGATTCTCGTCGGAGCGCAAACTCAATTGGGAACTGCACATGCGAGGGATCTAGGTTGCGTGCTTCTTATGAAAACCTAATGCCTGCTGATCTATTACCGTCTCCCATCACTCCCAGATGGGACCATCTAGTTGCTGGAAAATAAACTCGGCTCCCACTGATTCTACATTATGGTGAGTTGTATAAGCATGTTATTATATATTACAATGTAGTAATAGGACAAATAAAGTGGACAATAAATGCAATGCACTTGAATCATCCCCAAACCACCCCCCAACCTGTCTGTGGAAAAACTGCCTTTGACGAAATCAGTGCCTGGGGCCAAAATGGCTGGGGACTGCTGCTCTAGGGAACATCCCTGGACCTAAATCTCACTGGCAGTGCACAGTCAGTGGGCAGTAGCCAGGGGGCATGGCCTACCTGCTGGATGTTGGCATTGTTGGGTCCATTAATGTAATCTTCTAGCTCAGAAAGGCAGCTGGTTTTAGCCAATGCAAAAATAAGTTCAGTCTCTATATGGGACTCACAACCCTTTTTCCTGGCCATCTGCAGAAATTTAACGAGATCCTCCCAGCTGTCTAAAGACAGAAAACAAAGATAGGTTAACCCAGAGCTGATAATTTTAAACAAGGGCTCAATTCCTCCCATTCTGTCCTCAGTCAGACATATTTACCCTCCCGTTATGTCTTACTGGAAACTCAGACTCCAGATAATGTCTAGGAGGTCTTGACTATGCCCACTAGGCACATCCCTAGCTCAGAAGGGAAGAGGGGAGGGGCAGAGCCACAGTCAGGCCGCCTCCCTGAGAAAAGACTTTGCCAGGAGACAGGATGCTTGTTCTGGACATGGGAGAGGTCGGTGCCACCATCAGCCTAAAGCACCAGAAGATCCCTAGGAATCTGGGCCTAAGTCACTGACTTGAAAATTACTACAGTGGCAGTATCTGGTGTGCTTAAATGACCTCACCTTGTAAAGGATGGCAATAGTCAACTAAACAGCCAGTGTCAATAACAGAATAATGCTTATCTCAGGCTCTTGTGGGAAACGTTCATGAAGATGTGCTGTCTGATATCTCTGGATACATCCTATGCAGAGATCTGTGAGAATCTCTTTAACCCCTTGCTTCAGCCAAGTTTTGCATCAGTGAGATGCAGAGCCCCTGGGAGAGGGGATTCACTTACTGCTCCTGCTGGCTGCCTGAACAACTTCCTGGTAAGAGGAAGCGTCGTTCCCTCTGATATAGGAGTTGATGGCTTCCTTCACCAAGTCTTTCTGGAGCTGGGCTCGGGCCAGCTGACTCCACACAGCAGGCTCATTGCATCTCTCCGCAAACTCATATGCCCGGTCCAGGTTTCCAATGTGCTCAATCAGGACCTAGGGGTTATGAGAGGACTTGCATTCTCTGCAACACCTAGTTAGCTCCAAAAAGCAGACACATTTTTGTTTCTGTGTTCTGCTGAAAGCTGCATGACCACTGAAGTTCAGTCAGAAGCAATCAGGCAATAAGTATTTCTCAGATGGATGGGCTGACGGGAGAGACGAGAGCCATTATATGACAACTGGGATGCCGAACAAAGAAGAGACACTCTAACAAAATGGCACAGAGATGGAGATAGCCAGGCTAAGCTTTCTGGGCCAGGGGTAGAACTTGGGACTTGCTCCTGACCTTGGGAGGAAAGACAGTGCAATGGAAACTGTAGAAGAGCCAGGCGCAGTGGCTCACACCTGTAATCCTAGCACTTTGGGAGGCTGAGGTGGGTGGGTCACTTGAGGTCAGGAGTTCAAGACCAGCCTGGCCATCATGGTGAAACCCCATCTTTAAAAAAAAAAAGAAACTGTAGAAGAGTTCACAAGAATTGCCGTGGGGAATAAGATGGCTCACCCAACAGAAACAGGCTTGATGGTTGTGCTTGACCTGGCAGGTTGTGCAGCAGTGAGGGCCACCACTACACAGTAGTGGAGGTGGTGGCAGCATCAGCTGCCCCTCAATATGATGACCTGGTCTGTCTCAAAGCAAAGCCATCGACCACGAAGGGGCACAAAAGAAGGGCTCCTAAATCGGGGGTTTCATAGCAGGTATAGAAATACGGTAAAGGAAGAGGCAAGGAAATAAAGAGAATAGGTAGGAGGGCAGTGCCGGTGAGATGTCCTGTGGTTTACACCTGATTTGGAAATAAAACCAGAAAAGGCTACAGACTGGGAAGAAAGGGATACGGTTTAAAGAAGAGTTCTTGGGGAAGCGGAGGGGCAGGCAGGGAAGGCTGGAGGGCCTGCTCTGGGAACCTGACCTCAGATCCTGCAAAGCTCCTGCTGAAGAGATGGGGGCATGGGGAGTGTGGGGGGTGAGTAGCATGCTGTAGAGCGCTGGAATGGTTGTCGTTGAGGGTAAGGTGTGAGTGCTTCTGAAAATCAAACGTTTGTGTCACCAGGGCTGACCACATGACATTGAGTCAGGTACCTAAGTCTGGGGGAGTGCTGGGGAGTGACTGGGAAGGGGCAGACTAACAGCTGATGGAAGGAGCACCCACAGAGAAGGTCAAGGCAAGGGGCTAGCAGGCTAGGAAGACGAGTTGCTGGTGAGGAGCAGAGAAGAGCAGGAAGAGATGCACTGGACAACCAGAGGGTGTGACACCCTTGGAGAGGACAAGGGCTTGCAGGGCACACTCATGGTGTGGCAGAGGGTGCTAGGTCCAACACCCTTGCACTCAGCAGCTCACCTGGACTGCTGAGGCATTCACATCAAACTTGCAGAAGACTGCGAAGGCTTCCTCATACAGCGCGCTGCTGATAGCGATGCTTGCAATGTCCAGTGCGTCATAGTTGTCCAGGCGGCTGATGTACTCCATGACTCGTGTGCGGTCTGCCTTGATGGCAGTCAGGATCAGCAGATTCTGTAGATTCCTGAGGAGAGAGGGCTGTCAGCATGGCATCCCAGGAATGACGCCTGTAGAAAGCATTTTTCGGCAGGTCAGGTAGTCCCAGATCCCCAGTTTTAGAAAAAGTCATTATCATACACACACCTGACTGATAAAGTAAACACAACAGAGTATTTGTGAAGTATCTGGGGTCTCAAAAGAAATAATATAGCAAAGTCTTGGGAAAGCACAGGTAAGAGAATCAGAACATGCCAATCAAATCACTGGGAGGACTGCTGGACCTTTTCAGAGCCCAGCCTCTGCCTCCTGTTGCAGAAGTACCTATTTTCCTACCTGTGCTTTCTTTGCAATTCATTACAGCTTCATCACATTTACTGTATTCTGAAGCAATATAGGTAGCTTTGCTTGTTTTTTTTTCTTTTTTTGAGACAGAGTCTTGCGGTGGTGTGATCTCAGCTCACTGCAACCTCCGCCTCCCGAGTTCAAGCAATTCTTCTGCCTCAGCCTCCCGAGTAGCTGAAACTACAGGCACATGCCACCACGCCCAGCTAATTTTTGTATTTGTCGTAGAGACGGGATTTCGCCATGTTGGCCAGGATGGTCTCAATCTCTTGACCTCATGATCTGCCCGCCTTGGCCTCCCAAGTGTTGGGATTATAGGCGTGAGCTACCGTGTCTGGCCACTTGTTCTTTTTTTTTTTTTTTAACTTTCAAACATTTTGAGGCCAGGTGTGGTGGCTGACGCCTGTAATCCCAACACTTTAGGAGGCTGAGGTGGCTGGATCATGAGGTCAGGAGATCAAGACCATCCTGGACAAAAATGGTGAAACCCTGTCTCTATTAAAAACAGAAAAATTAGCTGGATGTGGTAGTGCATGCCTGTATTCCCAGCTACTCGGGAGGCTGAGGCAGGAGAATCGCTTGAACCAGGGAGTTGGAAGTTGCAATGAGCCAAGATGGCGCCACTGCATTCCAGCCTGGGCGACAGAGACTGTCTCAAACAAAAAAAAATTTTGAGATGGGGTCTTCCTATGTTGCCCAGGCTGGTCTCAAGGTCCTGGCCTCAAGTGATCCTCCCACCTTGCCCTCCCAAAGTGCTGGGATTACAGGTGTGAGCCACCACACCGGGCTGCTTTGCATGTTCTTGAATTCTCCTTTGCTTTAATTACAGTAGATGCATTCTTGTACAACTTTTCCTTTACACAATTCAAAAATATGGAAAAAAATCAATGTAACATACCACATATCAAGAATCTAAAAAAGAAATACTACATCATTATCAAATGATTCAGAAAAAGCATCTGACAAAATCCAACACCTGTTAATGAGAAAAACTCTTGACTAGAAGTAGAAGGGAACTTCCTCAGCTGAGAAAGGACATCTACAAAAAGCCCACCGCTAACATCAAAAGTGACAGAGACTGGACACTTTCCCTGAGGATCAGGGACAAGGCAGGGATGTCCACTGTCAACACTTCTATTTGTTCTGGAGGTTCTGGTCAAGGAATTTAGGCAACAAAAGAAACAAAAAGCACTAGATTAGGAAGAAATAAAACTGTCTCAATTTGCAGCCAACATGATCGATTAAAAAAACTCAAGAAATCTACAAAAAAATCCTATAATAAATGAGTTTAGCAAAGTTGTGCAATACAAGGTCAACATACAAAAAATAATGGTATTTCTATATACTGACAATTTTTGCAATGTACAACTGTAAACAAAAAATCTATTTAAAATACTTCCAAAAATATGAAATGAGTATAAATCTAATAAAATCTGTATATGAAATATATGCCACAAACTCTAAACTGCTGATGAAAGAAATCAAAGATCTAAATAAATGAAGAGACATGTCGCTTTCACACAGTCAACATAGGAAAAATACCAATTCTCCCTAACTTGGTCCATAGATTTCATATAATTCCAGTCCCAGCAGATTTTCTTGTACGTATATACAAGATAATTCTGAAATTTATACAGATAGGCAAAGGAACTAGAACAGCTAAAACAATTTTGAAAAAGAATAAAGTTGAGCCTAGGCATGGTGGCTGATACCTGTAATCCCAGCATTTTGGGAGGCCAAGGTGGGAGGGCTTCTTGAGCCTACGGGTTTGAGACTAGCCTGGGCAACATGGTAAGACCCTGTCTCTACCAAAAAAAAAAAAAAAAAAAATTAGCCAGGCCTGGCAGTGCACACCTGCAGCTACTCAGGAGGCTGTGATGGGAGGACAGCTTGAGCCCAGGAGGCTGAAGCTACAGTGAGGTGTGTTCATGCCACTGCACTTCAGCCTGGGTGACAGGGAGACACCATCTAAAAAAAAAAACAACAAACAAACAACAAAAAAAACGAAGAAAGAAAAAAGGAATAAAGGTGGAAGAATCACACTATCTAGCCCAATTGATTTTTTACAGAGATGCAAAAGCAATTCAATGGAGAAAGAGTATTTTTAACAAATAATGCTGGAAATAAACTGGACATTCATATGCAAAGATAAACCTCACCCAAAACTTCACACTTTATTGGATAATGAATCTAAATGTAAAATGAAAAAATATGAAACTTTTAGAAGGAAATAATAGAAAATCTGTGTGACCTGGGAATAGTAACAGAGTTCTTGATTTAACACCAAAGCACAATCCATAAAAGTTTATGAATTGGACTTTATCAAAATTATAACTTTTGTTCTGTGAATTACACTATTAAGAAAATAAAAGAAAATCCATAGAATGAGAAAAAATATGGCAATTACATAGCCAACAAAGGACTTGTATCCAGAATATACAAAGAACTCTGAAAATTCAACAAAAAAACCAAACAACCCAATTAAAAGACAGGCAACAGGTTTCAAGAGACACTTCACCAAAGAGGATACATGGATGGTAACTAGGCACATGCAAAGTTGTTTATCATCATTAGCCATTAGGGCAATGCAAATTGAAACCACAATGGCATATTGCTATACATTATGAGACTGGCTAAGATAAAAAAGGCCAATAGACCAAGTGCTGATAAGGATGAAGAGTGACTGGAACTCTCACATATTGCTGGCGGGAATGCAAAATGGCACAGCCATTCTGGAAAATAAAAGGCAGTTTCTTAAACAGTACATATACCACGTGACTGGGTATGTTCAAACAAAAATCTGGACAGAAATGTGCACAGATGTATTCATAATCACCTCAAACTGAAAACAACCCAAATGGCCTTCAAGGGGTGAAGAGATAAACTGTGGTACATTTGCATAACTGACTATGATTCCGTGATAAATAAGAATGTACTGCTCATGCACTCACCAACTTGGATGACTCTCAAAGGCATCATCATGCTGGGTGAAAGAAGCCCATCACAAAAGAGTCTATATCATGTGACTCCATTTACACCATGTTCTTGAAAATGCAAAATTAGTGTGGTGGGTTGGCCAGGGTTGGGGGTTGAGGTTTAAGGGAATGTATAATTTACATGGTAGCTAGCACAAGGGAGTGTTATAGGGTGATGGAATTGTTTGTATCCAGACTGTGGTAATTCTACACATCTATACATGTGTTAACATTCCTAGCACTGCATTCCCTGTCCACTTCCAGAAGATCATTTTGACTGTATCGTGATTTTTTTTTTTTTTTTTTTTTTTTTTGAGATGGAGTCTGGCTCTGTCGCCCAGCCTGGAGTGTAATGGCGTGATCTCGGCTCACTGCTGCAACCTCTGCCTCCCAGGTTCAAGTGATTCTCCTGCCTCAGCCACCTGAGTAGCTGGGATTATAGGCACATGCCACCACGCCTGGCTAATTTTTGTATTTTCAGTAGAGACGGGGTTTCACCATGTTGGTCAGGCTGGTCTCAAACTCCTGACTTCACGATCTGCCTGCCTCAGCCTCCCAAAGTGCTAGGATTACAGGTGGAATCCACCGCAGCTGGCCTGTATGGTGATTTTTTAAAAGAATTTTAAAGTTAGGTGCTAGGAGTCATTCATCCAACTGTATATTGTTCATTTCTGCGGCATTACTGTACCACAACCTACTTACTGATGGTTATCTGGCTTGCTCTTAGAGTTTTGTTATTGGAAATGGTGCTGCCTTGAGTATCCTTGCACATCGCCTCATACAAATGAGCTGAGTTCCTTTAGGGCTTGTAAGGAAGAGAGGAAAATGCTGGCTGTGTGCATCTTCTATCACCAAACTGTTTTCCAAATGTAACGCACATTCCCAGCAGGGGCACATAAGAAGCCCAGCTGCTCAACATCCTCATCAGCACTGATTAGGAGAGTGGAGTTCCTGCTGCTCTGGCAGGAGTAACAAAGGGATGCTGCACGTGGCCTCACTCTATGCCTCTGGTGGCTGATAAGGCTGAATTCTTGCCTTAGGTTCACAAGCTGTTCTTCCTCTCACTGGAGGGCCTGTTCAAGTGCTCTGCTTGGTTTCTCATTGGGTTGCTTGTGTTTTTCTTGTATTACATCTTTTCCCTGCTAATTTTTTGTTGGTTGTGTTGCAAATATCTTCTCCCCATTTGGAGCTTCTCATTTTTCCATCTTCTTTATGATACAGTGCGTAAGTCTGATACAGTCTTAATGGTTTTTCACTAAAGGTTTATGGTTTCTGTGACTGGCCTAAGAATTTATTAGGTCATGCATATATACTTCCAAATATAAACTCTAAAATAATATATTTTGCCTTTTATATGTAAATCTTTTCATAGTTTGAGAGATGCCCTATTTTATTATTTTATCATATATATTATAATATATAGTATATATTATTGTGTATAAATAAAATGTGTTTATCAAAGTTATCTGATACTTTAAAAATCTGCTTGATTTGTTTGATATTTAAAAATATGATTTTTCTCTTTTTTTGACAGAGTCTCGCTCAGTTGCCCAGGCTGAAGAGCAGTGGCACAATCTCATCTCACCACAACATCTACCTCCTGGGCTCAAGCAATTCTCCTGCCTCAGCCTCCTGAATAGCTGGGATTACAGGAGTATGCCACCACGTCCGGCTAATTTTTGTATTTTTAGTAGAGACGGGGTTTCACTGTGTTGGCCAGGCTGGTCTCGAACTCCTGACCTCAGGTAATCCACCCGCCTCGGCCTCCCAAAGTGTTACAGGGGTTACAGGCATGAGCCACTGTGCCCAGCCTAATGTCTTTTACATTGTGTGTTTAAAAATATTAGTTTCTGCAGGTCCGATTCCCCTACATTGCTGGCTCTCACTCATGGTACCTTATCTCTTTATGCATTCTGACAATGTTTACAGGTACGAGCTCATTATTTCTTTGAATGCTACCTGTTGGAATTCTTTGAAGCCTTGCTAGAAGGTGGGTTTCTGGCAGAGATCTGAGGCTACAATCTGATGGCGATCAGTTTACAGTTAAATTCCTGACCTAAGGATTTTTAACACTTTGCCGGTGAACATGAATGTGTGCTAAACCTCATAAGAGGGCCAGCTTAAGAGGGCCAATTTTGTCCTTATAAATTTAGCACAATTGTTCAAAAGACACTTTTATTTTGGCTGGTCTCTCAGCAGAGGGCTAGGCAATACTGCCATAGTCTTAGTTATCTTTCCATTTAGGAGTAGATGTCACACCTTTTGTAGGCCCTTTGTTTTTTCTTTTTTTTTTTGAGACAGAGTTTCACTCTGTTGCCCAGGCTGGAGTGCAGTGGCATAATCTCAGCTCACTGCAACCTCCACCTTCCGAGTTTAAGTGATTCTCCTGCCTCAGCCTCCAGAGTAGCTGGGACTACAGGCATGCACCACCATGCCCGGCTAATGTTTATTTTTAGTAGAGACAGGGTTTCAACCATGTTGTCCAGGCTGGTCTTGAACTCCTGCCCTCAGGTAATCCACCCGCCTTAGCCTCCCAAAGTGCTGGAATTATAGGCATGAACCACCACGCCCAGCCTAGGCACTTAGGTTTTGCCTCCTGTTCTCTTGTATCCTGTAGGGTGTGACAATGAGCCTGGGTTCAATAGGGTTGGCAAAAGTCAGATTATGTTCTTCTCTGGGTTCCTGCTCTCATTATTATTATTACTTACTCTCAGACTTTTTATTTACTTACTAGTTCATTGGTTCATTTTTAAAGATTATATAATTCATTCTACCTTGTAAGTTTTTATAATAATTGGATCTGTCCATGTCTCTGGATAGCTAGTCTGCCATACCACCAACCAAGGCTATTTTTTTTTTTCTTTTTTGAGATGGAGTCCTGCTCTGTTGCCCAGGCTGGAGTGCAATGGCATGATCTCAGCTCTCTACAACCTCCACCTCTTGGGTTCAAGTGATTCTCCTGCCTTAGCCTGCCGAGTAGCTAGTTAACACTTAGGGATTACAGGCACCTGCCATCATGCCCAGCAAAATGTTTGTTATTTTTAGCAGAGACAGCGTTTCATCATGTTGGCCAGGCTGGTCTTGAACTCCTGACCTCAACTGATCTGCCAGCTTTGGCCTCCCAAAGTGCTGGGATTACAGGCATGATTCAGCACACCCAGCCAAGGCTATTTTTATCTACACTTAAAACTGTGTCTGGTCAAATTGTCACAGAAAGAAGGAAGAACTTGAGGTCCCCTGCATGTCTGAGAGGCAAGTATTCAAGAAGACAGCAGAGCTGCAGCCACCTGTAAGTGCCGGGAAATACCCACAAGCTAACAACTATCAAAGGAGGTTGGTCAGACAGCAAGACAGAATATCCTACCCACCTCAGGTACTTTAACCCTGGCATCCTGTCATTAGGGTTTATGATTCCATCAAAATATAATTTCATATTCCATATACAATTACCATATAGTATCTCCAAGTGTAAACACACACACACAAATTCCTCTCTCTAATACCACAGCCCATGATACCCTTTCTGGCCTACAAATAAATCTCACAATTTAATCTTTATAGCTCCACTTATAACGTGAGTAGATTAAAATCTGACACAGAATCTCTGATGGTGAATTTTGAAGTGGAGAGGAACCCCAGGTGGCCAGCCCATGCGGAAGCATGCACTCCCACCTTGATGATGCCGGCCCATGCGGAAGCACGCACTCCCACCTCGATGATGCCGGCCCATGCGGAAGCACACACTCCCACCTCGATGATGCCGGCCCATGCGGAAGCACGCACTCCCACCTCTATAGTGCCAGCCTATGCGGAAGCACGCACTCCCACCTCGATGATGCCAGCCCGTGCTGCTGCCCCTGACACAGCTTCTGCTCATCTGGCTTCTAATTATACTTCTGGCAAGTCTTCCCTGATACATGCCCAGATGTGGTTCTCCTGCTACCTTTCTCCAAGCTTTGTTCACTATAATTTGAAGAGTTCAAAACATCCTTGGGCCACATGAGGCCTTCATAAAATGCCAGCTCCCTTTTTCTAGGAATTGTGTTAAAGGCCAGTGTGGGCCAGAGAAGAGGAGTGCCAGGCCCCTGGAAAATGTGAAACTGAGGCTGGGCCCTAAGACAGGAAGTAACTAAGTAAGGGAAGGGCTGGATTGAGATAGAGGAGGTGGTAAGAAGACTGGCATGTCTGGGGAGCAGCCAACTGGCAGGCTGGATGGGTAAAGCAGTACGAGATTGTAACAGAAGGTGAGTGACAAGCAGGTGTTTGAATCTGACTGCGTCCACAGCTACCCCTGGCGCAGCCTCACCTGTGCTCGCTGAAGACAGAGTTATCCAGAACTATCTTCTCCAGCAATTCAATCAGTTCATGAGGCAGGTCAGCTGTCATAAAGGCCTTGACAGTGACGGAAACCTCTTCAGGATCCCGTGTTTCTGACAATGCTGTCTGTACCACCTGGTTTTAAAAAGCATTTGAAAGAACTTGATTAAGGTCAATTCAAGACTGTATCTCTGAAGCTAAACAGAAGGGAAGGACTCCTCCAAGATGGTCTGGAACAGACACAGAGAAAATGGGAAACTTCTTAAAGTAGAAAAGGAAGGGTTTTCAAAGTAAATTTCAGGAAATTCTCAGGTTGCTCTATTTTGACAATTAGTTTTTCTCTCACATTAGATGAGCTAGACTCTTATTCTGTTCCAATGACGACTGCACTAGGCATTTAAAATGCATATCTCCTTTTAGATTTGTCTTTTAAAGCCACTATTCATAGCAAACCTGGCTCCACTTGTCTAGTGAAGGGGCTTCCAGTAGCCTCTTACTGGCAGAGTGTGGTTGTGGCATAGTCCACAACCAGAGCTGAGGAGCCAATGCCTCCACACAGGATGTCACTCAGAACCACAATCTGAAGGAAAGACCAACAAAAGACTGGCTGTGCCACCCCTCATCCAATTACAGGTGTCTTACCAACAAAAAGACTTACAAATAGGGTGGAAAGACAGTTTTCCAAAGAGTACATTTCCCACGTGACAGCAATTTGAAATGCCAGCACTGGTGTCTTTGCACTTCGTACCAGCCACCTTCAGTGACTTCAAGGATCTAATATTTTTGCCACGTTTCTGGTTCTCCTCAGGGCTGGGCAACAGCCGCATATCAATGAGAGGGAAGAGACAGCTCTGGAAGGTCTTTCATGGCTAACATAGCCCTCTGACCATGAACTTTCACCTAGCAATCTTGAGGGGTCTTAAAGGAACCTAGGATCAAGGTCAGTCCAGTCCACCTTTCTGGTGGTCTTTGTGACTCAGTGGTACCATGAGATGCAAAAGTTCTACCTCTGTGGAGTTGGTAATAACCGCAACAAGCAGGCGGAAGAATTTGAGGACTGGAGCTCTCACAACAGCTGAGGAACCAAAAGGGTACGCCTGAGGGAAAGGGGCACCGGGACACAGCACAAGAAGTCCATCCAAAGGAGGAGGCACGCTTCCTACAGTGACATCTGTCAATTCTTGAAAACCTAAGGGTAACTTAAGTAAATACACAGGTTGTTTTAAGGGCAAAAATAAATTTCTACCATCCTGTTTGAGTGAAAACAGGATGCCCCGCCTAAGGTTGCCTGAGGACACTGCTCTCAGTGAACTTTTCAAGAGGTTCTACTCCGGAAACTAAAAGCAGCCTCCCTCTGTCATTATGTGCTCTGATTAGAGGAACATTACAGTTGGATTTCCCACCAGGAGGTGGCTACAGATATTCAATTACAGTAGAGATAATGAAAGACCAGCAGCTCCACCCAGAAACAGGAAGACAAGAGGCCCCCGCTGGCTCTGGTATGGTGCAGTGTTAAAGTGGCCCTTCCCCAGTGCCAACATGAAGTCACCTTCAAGGTGTACCAGGTGGCTGGACTATACCTGGAGAAATGTCTGATGTCTGGGAACCTGGAGGTAGATCCCTAGTACAATCTTGTGTTGTTTAATATTTTTATTAGATTTGGATGGGTAAAAGTCCAAAGCTGATAGAGATTCAAAACAACATGGCCTTCCATAAATCTCAAAGTATTTCAAAATAAAAATTTATTTAAAAAAATAGTGGCACAGACTTGAGGAAACACTGGACAGAAAACGAGAAGACAAAACTCGTAGAGATAAGGTCAAATCCAGCTCTCAAGCCGAAAGCATGGTGCAGCAGGTTGGCACTATGTACGAGGGAGGTAGGAGTTTTAACTGGTCCTATGCTCAAGGCTGTAGCTACTTGTTGGGTGAGGGTTTTGTTCCAACAATGGTCTTGGCCCACCCCTAAACAGTATGCCCAGCACCAAGGGACAGTGCTGAGGCACTATCTGCGTATGTCTGTGAGGCTGTGATGGGAGGGCAGGCTCTTCCACAGGGCTGTGAAAGCCTGTCCAGAGGCTAAGGCAGACTTCCACCTGCCCTGGCCCCAGTTCTCTGCCCTGTGTCCAAGGAGGTGCTGGACAGTCACAGGGGCATAAAGAGTTCCTCAGCAAGAAAGCTTCTTAACCTCTGTCCACAGGGGCTGAGCTGGAGAAACAATCAAGGACCCAGCATGCAGGTGTGCCGCCAGGTACTCTCTTCCCGGGGCTGCACATCCCTGCTTTGGATTCAAGGGCAATTCTATGCCCTTGGCCAATAAGCGACTCCAAGTCAGCTGACCCTGGGGGAATCAGGCTATTTTTAGGCAAGCTACTTCTGCAGGGGAGAAGGTTCATAAGGGCTAAGATGTTTTATTTTATTTATTTATCATTTTTTATTTTTTAGAGACAGAGTGTCACTCAGTTACCCAGGCTGGAGTGCAGTGGCATACAATCTCGGCTCACTGCAACCTCTACCTCCTGGGTTTAACCAGATTCTCCTGCCTCCGCCTCCTGAGTCACTGGGATTACAGGCATGTGCCACCACACCTGGCTAATTTTTGTATTTTTAGTAGAGATGGGGTTTCACGATGTTGGCCAGGCTGGTCTTGAACTCCTAACCTCAAGTGATCCACCTGCCTTGGCCTCCCAAAGTGCGAAGATTACAGGTGTAAGTCACCACACTCGGACTATTTATTTTTTTGAGATGGAGTCTCTCTCTGTCTGAGGCTAGAGTGCAGTGGCACGATGTCAGCTCACTGCAATCTCTGCCTCCCAGGTTCAAGAAATTCTCCCGCCTCAGCCTCCTGTGTAGCTGAGATTACAGGCGTGTGCCACCGCGCCCGGGTAATTTTTGTATTTTTAGTAGAGATGGGGTTTCAGCATGTTGGCCAGGCTGGTCTTGAACTCCTCAGACTTCAAGTGATCTACCCGCCTTGACCTCCCAGATTTCTAGAATTACAGGCATGAGCCACTGCACCTAGCCAACATGTTTTAAATGAAAAATGAAACCAGTCACTTGAGCCACAACAATGAGTAGATGGCAAAATGCAGGTGCACACACACAGCCATTTCTGTGCCTCACCTGGTCAATCAGCTGTCTCCTGTATGGATTGGTCTCCTCAAGGACATGAGCCCAGAGCTCCGGATTCTTTCTGCGTACCAGGTAGCGGGCCTCGCTTTTGAACAGAGAATTCTCATGGCAAACCTGAAATGAGCACACTCATGTGTGTAACACAGCAGCCAACCAATGGAAGCTGCTTGGGAAGACACACCCCAGTTCGTTCCTGGTGTGCCTGATACTCGTTTGGTGGACAGTCGGAGCCCAGGCAAGACGCTGTGCTTTGACACGAGATAAGCAGCATCCTACAGGGTTAACAATGCACTCAAACTACCTCAAAATGCCCTCTCCAAGTTTACAACAACTCCCAGGGGTGTGGCACATCTTTGGCCAGTAAAACCACCTGCATTCAGGGACATGCTCTGTCTCCCACTCTGTCTGATACAGCCACTGCTAGCCATGGGAGGCTACTGAGTGCTTGAAATGTGGTGTGTGACAGAAACTAAATTGGTAATTTTTAATTTAGTTCAATTTAAGTACTCATATGTAGCTAGCTCTAAACCATCTCCAAAATGTTATCAGAACAGTCTAGAACTGGTATAAAACAGCACAGACACTGAAACATTTCAAGTCTTTCAGTGTCTGGAGACCCTTTTCTGAATGTTATAACAGATCTCCAAAACACCAACAGTCCACTGGAATGTTCTAGCATGAGCAGCACTTGCTAAATCTGGGGGAGGATGGGATCTGTCGAGGGCCAGATGCCAGGCACAAGGCTGAGCGGCTTGCACACGTGTCTGCGGATGCAGCACAGGCTGCCTGGGTATCACAGCAAAGGCCCGAGCAGGCTGGTGTGGCACCAACCTCACAGGTGCCCTGTTCATGTCTGGATTTTTAGATCACATGGTTAGGTAGGAAAAGCTCATACAATTTAACCTAAACATGTAATTACACACATGTGGATCCAAGCCTGAGCAGACACAGGCAAAGAACCTGGGCAGATGTTTCAAGCCAGCAAGAGCTCATCGGTCAGGGGATGGGGAAGGGCTTGTGTAGAGGGCTACTCCAAAAGGGGGGGCATGAAGCACAAGGGCACTTGGGACAGGAAGCACCCAAGGAACTGCACGCCCCTCCATGTAGGGTGGCAAGAGGAGGGGCTGATCAAGCTGGGGAGTCGGAGGAAGGTGGTGTTCCACAGAGGAGCTCATGAGTCAGGCCAGGGAGTTCAATTTTGCCCTCAAATTACCAGGCAACACTAAGGACTGTCAGTAGAAGGGTGATGAGTCAGGTTCAGGGCCAACTGGTCTACAGGTACGATGCATACAAATTGCATGAGCAAGTCCCCAAAAGCTGTGAGAAGCACAAGGAAATACATCTCATGACCCGCCATCTCCAGGTGCACAGAAAGCCCTGATCTGCTCCCCACAGGGACACCTTTGAAAGCTTCCCTGGGAGGCCAGGGCTAAATGGGCAGCCCTGCACATCTTCTACCCACCTTGATGAGCTCAAGGTCACACTGCCCCCGCTCATAGGCGACACAGGCCAGATGGGGGTCTCGCTTCTCACAGTAGCGACCCACCACGCTGCTGTCGTAATAGGTGTTCTCTCTCAGGAAGCACTCGGGGCTGTTGTTGCTGTCAATGTAGATTTTAGCCAGTGCATTGTGAGTGGCAGGCTCCTCACAGCCTTTCTGAATCCGGGACTCCAGCCAGGGAAGCAGGAGCTTAAGCCTTTGAAAGAAGGAAGGTGCCGTAAAGTCTCAAGGTTACCACTGGAAATCTTGAGAGCAACTCCAGGGCTCTGATAGTTGTTTCCTGAAAGAAAAAATCTCTGAGTCCATCAACTTCAGGTTGCTCTAGGGACCAAGATGGATCTGGTTTCTAAACTGATTTCTACTGTTAGGTTTTCCCCCAAGGTCTTCACAGTACCAACAGCAAGGAACTCATTGCTACATCTAAGATGTGTACAGGAATGACCAACTGTGGAGACAGTCCTGGAGAATCGGAAAGAAACAACAACAGATACTAGAATCCAGAAGCAAGAGAAAACAAGTAAGGACACCTTACCTATTTCTTTTTTCTACTTCAGCCACCAACTCATCAGTAGAGAACTGTCCTCTCACTGCCATGATTAAGTGTTTAATCACTTCCTCAGAACAATCCACATCAAGGAGCCCTCCAACCACAGCTGGGTTCCGGCTAGGATTGACCTAGGGTAGTCAAGGTCAAGTAACTTCAGTGTTGCAGACACAAGTTATTGTTAGAAGCCTCCTACAACTTGGACAGTGTGGGCAAAACCCTGAAAGAGCTCCTGTTTAGGACTGGCTTTGTCCTACCAAAATTCACTTGCTGATGTCCTAACCCCCAGTGGGATTATATTTGGAGAGAGGGTGTTTAAGGAAGTAATCAGTGTCAAGGTGGGGGGCACCCAATGCAGCGGTACTGGTGTCCTTTAACAAGAGAAAGAGACACTGGGAGTGCACATGCACAAAGGAAAGGCCCTGTGAGGGCACAGCCAGGAGGCCATCTGCAAGGCTGGAAGATAGCCTTCACCAGAAACCAGCCCTGCCAGCACCTTGATCATGGACTTCCAGCCTCCGGAACTGTGAGAAATAAATGTGTGTTGTGTCAGCCGCCTGGACTGTGGTCTTCTACTCTGGCAGTCTGAGCACACTAACCGATCACCCTTCAAAATGATAGTCTCCAAAATGCTCAGGTGTTAGAGGCAGCCTCTGAGGTGAATACTATTGCCACTGACTGGGGCCCAGAGGCAGCCTGGTGTCACTCCAGGGAGCCAGCAGTACCTTCTGCACGTAGATCTCAATGTACCTCTGCAGGTTGTTGCGGTATAAATACAGGACAAGGTCATGGACAAAGCCGAAACGATCACATACGATGATGAGGGGAAGCTGGTCTGTGAGCTTGGCCTCCTGAGGGTTAGAATGCACAGAACAAGTCAGGGAGTGAAGAAACCAGCCAGCCAGACCCGGGGCTCATTGCCCACACAGGACGGCATTGTCTCTGCAGCAGAGGGACACACAGGAGACTCGGCATGAGACTGCTCTAGATAGGCTGCTGTTTTGTGGTATGGTGTTTGCTTTGGTAAATAAGTGAGAGAAAGGTATTAGTATTTGGTTAAAGACTGCTAAATTTGGCATTAACATTCCAAGTCTGGACAAAAGCATCATTTGATTTAAGACAAGCAGCTCATTATGTGCAAACCCAACAGAAACCAGGCCATTCTCAAGAACAGCGCACCTGCGGTAAGGGCTGCCTTTTCAGACACGCAGCTGCAGGCCATGGAAACACACCCGGGCACTGCTCCCAGATGATGATGGCACTTGGGTACGACAGCCACAGGCCACCACAGTCATGTCTCCCCTCGTATGGTCCCCTAGGTTCCCTCTTGAAGTTTTAAGTGTTTCCTCCAAGGGAACGTGAATCCAAGTGTCATCTGCCACTTGCAGGCTTCACCCATACAGACTACCTATGCTGGTTCCTCTGCACTCTTCTCTTCTAGCTGGCTGGGAAGACGACGTTCCAGGTGAGGTGCTGAACATGGCAAAGCAGCTATGAGCCTGGTCCTTGAAGGACATTGGGAAGGAAAGCCATCCCACTCACTGCCAAGCCATCCAGGACTGCCACAAAAGGAAACAGGTTTCCTGTTCTTTATGCCACTAGCGCTGAGTGGTCTCCTAGTTCCTGCAGCTTTGCCTGCCTAATTGACAAGGGCACCAATGGGATGTTGATGAACTGCAACGCAGCAATAAACTAACTCCCTACACTTAGGTGCCAGATACTTAGAGCACAGCCTTAAGCTTCTTTCTACAAGTTCTTAAAATGATAGATGGATTCCTCTAGAACTTTAAGCCATAAAGCAAAGCTCTGTCTCTGGGGACTAAGGGGGCCCTGGTGAGACAGATCCAGCTTCCCACCTCCTGGGACATCTGTGGATGGTCTGCCCCACCTGCCATCAGTGAGGGCAGCTCATGGAAGGAGGTGGTGCTGAAACACACCTTCAGGAAGTTCTTCACATGCTCTGGGTTGTAGCAACTGCTCTCCCGGCATATCCTCTCCACCTCCTTGATCTGCCCTGTCTTACAGGCAGCCTGAATGTATTTCAGATGCACGTCTGGGTCTTGGCTGAAGTTCACGATTGAGCCCAGGAAGTAGAAGAGGCCTATGAAGAGACACCATTCCATTTTTGTCCTTGTAACTCCCACCTGCCTCCTCCACAGCTGTCGTCGACCTTCACTCGATGAGCCTGCTCCACTCTTCAGGGACCCACAGCCCACTCAGAATTCATAATCGATATGCCATTTGTCTGTTTTGGCAGCTCCCAAATATAGTTAGTGAGATTTCCATCATATTTGGCAGGTATACCTGGATGTTTTCATGTAGAATACTAGGTATTTGGTACATGTGAAATTCCTTTTGGTGGCCCAGGTATACCTAGATAGTCATCATCAAGAGTAATTCTCACTGAGGTAATCTGAGAGGGCTGTGGGACTGCTGCTCTAAAAAGGCATGCCAAGGGATAGAGAAATAAGCCATGGCCTCTGGCAAGAGCCTGCGACTTGACACGGAGCTGACAGTGACATGGGCCCCATGTGCTGAGCCCCAGGGTGAGCCCCAGAGGACAGCATTCACAGAGGCTAATGATGTTCCTCACCATTACAGAGGCCAGCCAGGAGGCACCAGTAACAACAGGATAGGATACATCCGAGAAGGCTCCTGCCTGTTGAGGTCTTTCACTGTAACCGTGAGACTCTGATGCTAGGAAAGAAATGGGCAGCCCCAAGGCCAGTGGTTCCCCATCAACCTACCCTACTGTCCTCTCCCAGCCCAGCTCCAGCCAATCTTCTGTCATGGTCTTTCCTACAGTGGTGTCTTCTGAAGAGAAGGCCACCTCCCTGAGGGCAGGGTCCTGGCCCACCCTCTACCGATGCCCCAACCTCACTGGACACATGGCAGTGGCTTCATGCCTAGACAAATGCTCAGTCTCTATCCTGGGAGAGCCAGACAGCCCCAACCTGTCCCTAACAAAGCCACTCCCACCCCCACTGCCCTACCACACTTTTTTGGTGTGATGCCCAAGAAGGGCAAAGGAATATAACCAGGTTGCCTCATCAGCCCCACAATCACTGGGTAGCAGACACTACACAGCAATGCACTCTCTATTGTGGGCTCTCACTTAGGAGTGGTCCAAGGAGCTTCCCTCCTGGGGCTGTGAAGACCAGACATCAAGCCCTTTCACCGTACCTATGACACAGGCTTTTAGAGGAATTCTCGCCAGACTGTGCCTCATAGACACACTGGGCTCTGTAAGTCTCTCCACCCCATCACCAACCAACCTGACTTCTTCATCAGGAAACACCAAAAAGGTTCCTGAAGCTGAGTGGTGCACATGAGATAGCAGTACATTCTGCCACCAACTGAGCACCCAAGGCAGCGGGTGCTGCAACCTGCCCGGCTTTGCAGGAAGGCCGTTTTAAGTCAGGCAGGTAGACAGCAACACCTGAGAAAAGAGGTACAGTCATGTGGCAGGGTCGGCCAGAGGCTGCACGGCTTACCTTCATAACTCTTGAAGGATTCGAAGAGCTCCACCAGGGCCTGCGTGCCCAGCTGCTCATGGTACTTAGAGGCCACCTGCACACACAGCTGAAGGTTCTGTCTGATGTTAGCAGACAGCATAGCATGCAGACACTCCACAGAATCCTCCACCGACAAGGAGCCGAAGAAATTGACAAGCCACTGGGAACAAGGAAGAGTCTGTCCACAATGATGCACCACTCTAACGACTGCTAACATCTGGAAAATAACTAGGTCATTCCCATGTTCCCCTGAGTGTCAAAAATATTCCACATAAAAGGACTGAAAAGCAACTGTCCGTCACGGGAAAAAGTAGGAGCAAAAAGTAAAGCTGGGAAGACACTGATCTAAACTGTTCATCTGGAATATTCCACAGATGATGCTAAAACTTATTCCATAAGTTGGAACACAATAGCCAGTTTAGCTCTGTAATGGTTTCAGACAGCCCTGTTATGCTGTCAGTGTTAAAAGGTGACCAGTATTCCTGCTATTAGACTAAGTCAAAGGTGGACATCAGAAAGAAAGGTGCTACAGGGCCCAGAGACGCTGCTGAGCAGATAAACTTTGTGTGTGGGCGGATCTAGAACTGCTTTTGGTAGTAAAGTATGGTAGGTTAGGGCAGTGACAGGCTCAGGCCACGGTTCCACAATCACCAACAGGTGGTCACTGGGGAGCATGTGACACTAATTGCATAGACAACAGCCACAATAGGAGTACCTCAGGGGTACACAGTACCTCGTGATTGAGGAGGTGAGTGTGGACCACAGCCCTCTTGATGTCAGAGATGTCGGTGTAGTGCTCCAATGCCTGCTGCAGGAGGCCTGCCTTCTCGCAGAGCTGGGCGATGTGGGCCCGGTCGTAATGAGTAAACATCTGATTTCCAAGGATGGCGTCTGCAACCTATGAAACAGGGAATTTGGTGAGAAAGCCTGATCAGTGGCAATAACTTTTTAAGACCAGCTGCTCAACCTTGCCCCAGGGTAGGATATAGGCTGGCGACCAGAGCTCACAAGCCCGTCCACATCCACACCTCTGTGGTGGCAGCAGTGCTTGTGGGTCCCAAGAGCCCTGGCTGTCCTTGAAGTCACCTTAGGCCCTTTGCACAAGGCTCCATCCTCCCATGTTGCAGAGCTGGCCCATCCCACGTGGCCACAGAGTTGGGCCTGTAAGAAAGGCTGAAAAATGGAGCTCTATAAAGCTCTATTACTGGGATGAGATCAAGTCGCTGTTGGAGTTTTTAAGCCATCACATTTTTTTTTTTTTTTGAGACAGAGTCTTACTGCATCACTCAGCCTGGAGTGCAGTGGCACAATCTCAGCTCACTGCAACCTGCATCTCTCAGGTTCAAGTGATTCTCATGTCTCAGTCTCCTGAGTAGCTGGGATTATAGGCACGCACCACCATGCCTGGCTAATTTTTGTATTTTTAATAGAGACAGAGTTTTGTCATGTTGGCCAGGCTGGTCTCAAATTCCTGACCTCAGGTGATCTGCTCACCTTGGCCTCCTAACGTGCTGAGACAACAGGCATGAGCCAATGCACCTGGCCAGCAATCACATCTTTTTTTTTTTTTCCCATTTATTTATTTTATTGCATTTTAGGTTTTGGGGTACATGTGAAGAACATGCAAGATTGCTGCATAGGTACACACATGGTAGTGTGATTTGCTGCCTTCCTCCCCATCACCTACATCTGGCATCTCTCCCCTTGCTATCTCTCCCCAGCTCCCCACCCCCCAGCATGCCTCCCCTATTTCCCCCCAAATGCCCATCGATGATAGACTGGACAGGGAAAATGTGGCACATATACACCATGGAATATTATGCAGCCATCAAAAACGATGAGTTTGTGTCCTTTGTAGGGACATGGATGAACAATCACATCTTATAGGGTTTCTATGGCAAGATCAATGTGAGGGCTCAAGTCTACCGATTTTCCTCGATTGAGCTCATGGCTAGATTGACTCGCAATGGCTAGAGGGAGATCTGAATGTAACAAATCCCATTTGTGCTTACTAGACTTCTCTACTAGGCTAATTACAGAATGAGGAATTGGGGATTGCATTTAAAAAACAATGAACACTCCTGGAAACAATTTTGATGAGGCATAAAATCTTTTTTTTTTTTTGAGACAGGGTCTCACTGTGTCGCCCAGGCTGGATGGCGAACAGGGGTGGTGTAATCTCAGCTCACTGCAGCCTTGAACTCCCAGGCTCAAGCAATCCTCCTACTTTAGCCTCGCAAGTAGCTCAGATTACAGGCACACGCCACCACACCTTTTTTGTGTAGAGATGGGGTTTGGCCATGTTGTCCATGCTGGTCTCAAACTCCTGAGCTCTGCTCACCTTGGCCTCCAAAATGCTGGGGTTTTAGGCAGGAGCCACTGCACCCAGCTACTAAACATTATCTTTAAGTAGGTAAAGTACGTCTGGGCTAAGACTGGATAGAGGTCAACACGGCAGCTTTGCTGCAGGGCTGATTGAGTGTTTTCTGAGTATCTAATGCTGGTCTTGACAAGCTATGCTCCCAGGCGCCTTCCCCTGCCACTCAGCGCACTCCTTCCCGTTCCTTCTAGGATCTGCATCACCAACCAGGTATGGCCAAACACAGAGCAGCCATGGCCACTGTCACATGCCAGACTGCTTCAGAGTGACACCTGCTCCTGGTTCCCCACAGAGTTGATGATCCAAACCAAGTACTAAGAGTAGGGTTTTTTGTTTTTGTTTTTTTTCCAGGCAAGCAGCAGCTTTATTAGTAGTGCTGGGTTCTCCCCATACCTTACAGTGTGCTTGGAAACATTCCTGAGGGTTTCCAGGGAATGCCCCCTGGTGCTCAGGACAACACTATGTAGCACTGACACTGGAATGATATCAATACAGCTTTGGTGTGTAGGTTTGCAGGACAGCGTACAGGTTAACACTGTGATATGAAAACTTCAGACAACACCAACTCTCAATGTGGACTGGGTTTTTGGCCAAGGGGGTAACTTCTAAGTGACTGGACACTGGGCCCATTGCCATGTCTACTTGAGGCCCCAGTGGCAGGAGGAGGGCGTCTAGGGCTGAAGCTCCACATGGCCCTGTTGCTTTGCCTTCATCTGCAGATACTGCCCTTTGTCTTCCTCAAAGCACTTTTTCTTGTCCTCGGTCTTGGGCACCAGCTGGGGCATGGGCAGTGACCTGCCCTCCTGACTCAGCGACACATAGGTGAAGAAGGTACTGGCGGCCGGGTAACGCTTCTGAGAGCTGTCCACAACAGGGTCGGTGTCCACCAAGACCTCGATCTCCATGGACTTACTGCCTGTGAAGGTCATGCGTCCCGAGATGGTGATGATGCAGCCTTTTCTGATCTTGTCATGAAAATTAATGGTGCCCACAGAAGGTGTGACAATGTTCATCTTGCAGTGGCTTGCAGCCATGATCCCGGCGACCTTGTCCATGACTTTATGGTCAAGGCTCCATGCATGAAGCTGTGCAGGGTACAGTCTGAAGGCCCCACCAGGTGGATCAAGCTGGACTGGCTGTAGCTGACAGTGTTCGGCTCTGGGTTGAGGACTTGCTGGACGATGTCCCTGTTCTTCTACTTGGTCTCCGTGCGCTCCAGCTTCTGGGCTTCATTCTGCTTCCAGCCCTCCTCTTCCTGCTCCTGTGAAGAATACATCACAGGAGGCACCTCGAGGACCTTGTCCACGTTCTTCAGCGACAGGGGCACATACCAGAGGGTGGCCTTATTGGTAAGCTTTTTGGCACCTGTGAGGATGTTTCTGGACATCATACTGACCTGCACCTCCACAGAGTGCTTTGAGGTGTAGGTGATCTCCGTGCTGATGTGGGCCACCTCACTGATGCACAAGGGCGACAGGAAGTCAGTGTGCTTGACCCAAGCCAGCGCGGCCACACTGCACTCCCCATTCTGGCTGCTGCAGTGCCAGGTGCTGATGATGGCACTCACCTCCTGGATCATCTTCAGGATGGTCCCATCATGTACACTGCTCGCCCCATTTGGTGTCATCTGCATGATCCGGCAGATCTGGATGGCAGACAGCGTCTTGATGTCCGGGCCCTACATGCTGGTAGCTGTGGCAGCACGGGCAGCTGCAGGAGGGCACAGGGGTCTCAAGAGTAGGGCTTTAGAACTTGTGGCGTTTACCTGAGTCTCCTATTCTTTGTTTCCTTCAGGTGTATCTTTACTTCTGGTTTTCAAACATTTTCTCCTCATAGCAACAGTGTAGTTAGAGAATTTAGAAACCATCACGCAGTCCCACTGCCCAGAGACTGCCAGCATCCTGGGGCACTAAGCCAGAGCCTGCTGGCACTCTACCCAGCTACTTGTTTGTTCTGCACCCTTTAGGGTCTGGGCATTCCTCAGAGTCTGCCACGTTTCTGAGTGGTACTCAGTTTGTTTCAAACCTCACTCGCTAAAAACTGTTATATACACTCACAAAGTCATGAGAGTCCAGTGGAATCCAAGCAGGAAATAAACAGCACCTTTGTTTCCTAGAGTTGGAATATGACCCACTTCTTAGCAGTTAACTTGAGGATTTGAATAAATTGAGGCAATAGAACAATATACTTAATATGTTGTTTCCTAATTATAAAACAATAAGTGATTATTAAAGAAAAAACAAATCAAAAGAGATAAGTATAAAACAAAGTGAACTTCTACAATCTTATCCACTTAGTACCATGGTGAACAGCTTGATATAAACTCCTCTAAATCCCTTTCTTGTATATATATCCAAATTTAACCCAAAAGAGCAGACATGTGACTTGATTATACCTGCCTCCCACAACTTTCAGGCCAACAAATGATGCCTCACCACAATGAGATACCACTGCACACCCATTAAGATGGTGATTAGTATTATTATTATTTTAGACAGGGAAAATGTGTTGGCAAGGATATACAGAAATTGGAACTGCTAAGCATTGCTGGCAAGAATATAAAATGGTGCAGCCTCCTGGAATACAGAATGGTGGTTCCTCAAAAAGGTAAACATAGAATTACTGTTTGATATGATCCAGCAATTCCACTTCTGGGTATATGCCCAAAAGAACTGAAAGCAGGCCGGGCCCAGCGGCTCATGCCTGTAGTTCCAGCACTTTGGGAGGCCGAGGCAGGCGGATCATGAGGTCAGGAGTTCGAGACCAGCTTGGTCAACACAGTGAAACCCCGTTTCTACTAAAATACAAGAAATTAGCTGGGTGTAGTGGTGGACACCTGTAATCCCAGCTACTCGGGATGATGAGGTGGAGAATTGCTGGAACCCAGGAGGCGGAGGTTGTAGTGAGCTGAGATTGTGCCATTGCTCTCCAGCCTGGGTGACAGAGTGAGACTCTGTCTCCAAAAAAAAAAAAAAAAAAAAAAAAGAATTGAAAGCAGGGCTTCAAAGAGATCTTTGTACATCCATGTTAACAGCATAACAACAGTATTATTCACAATAGCCTAAAGGTGGAAGCAACCCAAATGTTCATCAATGGATGAATGGATAAGCACATGCCAGATATACACATGGTGGACTATTATTCAGTCTTAAAAACGAAGGTGTTTCTAACCCATGTTACAATGTGAATGAACCTTGAAAATAATATGCTAAGTGAAAAAAGCCAGATAAAAGGACAAATATTTTGTGGTTCCATGTATATGAAATATCTTGAATAGGTAAATTAATAAAGACAGATTAGAATGGCAGTGGTCAGGGGCTGGGAAATGAGGAGTCATTGCTTAACAGTTACATAGGGATGATAAAAAGTTCTGGAAATATATAGTGGTAATGGTTGCATAGTATTGTGAATGTTCTTAATGCCACTGTATCAGACACGTAAAAATTGTTAAAATGGTAAACCTGGTTATGTATATTTTACCACAATGAAAAAAAAAAAAGAAGAAAGAAATGATGCCCCAATTATAACTGTTTCCATGAAAGTCTTGTACCATGATTTCTGGAAAATCCTTTTAAGGAAAGTCATGGAGAATGTCCCCTGAGAAGTACAAGATAAACATCTGATACAAGCCCAGCCCAGTCCAAAGCCACTGTGCTCAAATCTGCAAGCCCACAGAGAGGTGTCACAGGTGCTCTGCCTCTTAGTGTTCACCTAGAATGTCACTAACCTGGGGTGCATGAACAAGGTTCATCTCCAACAGCCATGTCTGGAGGAGTCCCTCAGCCGGGCGATTATTCTTCAAGGCATCCAATAAGAAGGAAGTACATTGCTGAATTAAATTGTTTTCCATGAAAATGTCCACAATCTGAAACATATCCAACCCACATTTTCACTCAGGGTGTTTTCATTCAGTGTTTTATTTTCCTATTGAAATAGTTCCTGAAATATAATCTCAATTAGAAATTCAACAACTAGTTCCTTCCTTTGTATTTTCTTTTTCTTTCTTTCTTTCTTTTTTGCACTATTGCCCCGGCTGGAGTGCAGTGGCATGATCTCGGCTCACTGCAACCTCCACCTTCTGGGTTCAAGTGATTCTCTTGCCTCAGCCTCCTGAATAGCTGGGATTACAGGTGCCTGCCACCCTGCCCAGCTGATTGTTTGTATTTTTAGTAGAGACAGGGTTTCACCATGTTGGCCAGGCTGGTCTTGAACTCCTGACCTCATGATTTACCGGCCTCAGCCTCCCAAAGTGCTGGGATTACAGGCGTGAGCCACCGTACCCAGCCTGTTTTGTTAATTTATTTTTTTGAGATGGAGTCTCGCTCTGTCGCCCAGGCTGGAGTGCAAAGACATGATCTGGACTCACTGCAACCTCTGTCCTCTGCCTCCCAGGTCCAAGCGATTCTCCTGCCTCAGCCTCCTGAGTGGCTGAGATTACAGGCACCCACCACCATGCTCAGCTAATTTTTGTTATTTTTAGTACAGACGGGGTTTCACCACATTGGTCAGGCTGTTCTCGAGCTCCTGATCTCAGGTGATCCACCTGCCTTGGCCTCCCAAAGGGTTGGGCTTACAGGCATGGGCCACCGTGCCTGGACCCTTTGCATTTTCTTATGTCATCACAATTCACATAGAGCCAGGTGTAGAGGTGTAGTGACATGTGCCTACAGTCCCAGTTACTCTGGAGGCTGAGGTGGATGCATTCCTTGATCCCAGGAGTTGAGACCATAACAACACAGAGACCTTATCTCAACAACAACATAATTCATGTAATTTGTGGCCATCAATTTATTAATAGATACACTTGCAAAATTATATCACCTACATAATACTTACCAGTGAGGTATTTTACTGAAGTATATGAAAGAGAGTAACTTTTATAAGATATGAACTCCCAGAATCCTCTACAGGGATCCAAGTAGTAACCACATATTACTTAATCACATCCTAGAGGCAGCTGGGATGCTTAACTTTAGGGGTCAGCTTGACTGGATTAAGGAACATGTAGAGACCAGGTAAGGCATTCCTTCTGGGTGTGTCTGTGAGGGCGTTCCCAGGGGACACTGGCATGTGAGTTCAGGGACCAAGTAGGAAAGATCCACCCTCAATGTTGGGAGCACCATCCAATCGGCTGGGGGCACAAAAAAGGAAAGAATGGATTTCTTCTCTTTCTCCTGGAGCAGGGACATTCCCCTCTTCCTACCCTTGGACATCAGAACTCCAGGCTCCCCAGCCCTTGTACTCCAAGACTTACACCAAAGGCCCCCCAGGGTTCTCAGGCCGTTGGCCTCAGACTGAGAGTTACGCCATCAGCTTCCCTGGTTCTAAGGTTTTCAAACTTAGATTGAGCCGCCCTACTAGAATCCAAGATCTCCTCTAGCTTGCAGACAGTCTATCACAGGACTTCTCAGCCTCCACAATCATGAGCCAATTCCAATAAACTCCCTCTCATATATCTGAGTTGGGGTCTCACTCTGTTGCCCACACTGATGCAGTGGCAAGATCAGCTCACTGCAGCCTCAACCTTCAGGGCTCAAGCGATCCTCCCATCTCAGCCTCCTGAGTAGCTGGGACCACAGTTGTATACCACCATGCCTGGCTAATTTTTAAAAATTTTTTGTAGAGACAGTGTCTCACTATGTTGCCCAGGCTCCCTCTCATATATCTATAGCTATGCTATTGGTTCTATCTCTCTGGGGAGTCCTGACTAACAAAGCAGCTGATACTTGATGTCTAACCCATACATATCATTATATTACTGGGGCGTAACTAGGAAAATGCAAATATTTACACAGACAATTACTAAAGTTAAATTGACATTAATTTAAATAATTAATATGCCACAGTAAGATGTGAAATATAAGGATAAATTTAGTAATTGTTTTTGAAGGACAGCTTTACAGGAAAATTAAAAAAAAAAAACAAAACTTACTGACCAGGCAGTGGCTCATGCCTGTAATCTCAGCACTTTGGGAGGCCAAGGTGGGCAGATCATGAGGTCAGGAGTCCGAGAATAACCTGACCAACATGGTGAAACCCTTTCCCTACTAAAAATACAAAAATTAGCCAGGCGTGGTGTTGTGCACCTGTAATCCCAGCTACTCAGGAGGCTGAGGCACGAGAAGCACTTAAATCTGGGAGGCAGAGGTTGCAGTGAGTCAAGATCGTACCACTGCACTCCAGCCTGGGTGACAGAGCAAGACTCTGTCTCAAAAAAAAAAAAAAAAAAAAAAAAAAGAACTTAACTAATTGTGGAACTCTTCATAAAGTACAAGAGAGAAGTTTATATTTTAAACAACTTTAAAATATGAACTGTAATCAAGATGTGAACCGGAAATTTCTTTCCTATTGGAAGCTAAGTAAATCTGGCTCAAATCTCTTATTCATGCTCTCTAAAATATCTGCAAATTCCCAGATGTATAAACACAATATAATGGCACTTATTATTTCTAAACAGGCTGCTGGCTATGATGTGTGGCTTCAAGCTTGTTACACATCTACATATCACCAGAGCTCCTTGTACCAATTTACTAAAAGTGACTTGTTGTGTGTTTACATCTAAATTCTAAGTAGGTTACACTAAAAAACAGGCTGATGCTCACACAGATCCAGGTCACTCGGACACCCACAGGATGAACATCTGGGGGACGCAACAGCACTAGCGACTGGTGCTCAGGCCAATGGTCAGGGAGACACAATGACAACTGTGGTGGGGCAGGGGATAGAGGGCTGGATCCGAAATGACATCCTCACACCTACACGCATCACCACCCAAAGACATAAACCCACGCACACATACTCTAGAGTACTTCAAAACAAAGGAAGCAATGAGTACTCACATAATAAAAACTAGAAGACAAACTCCTCAAGTATACTAGATTTTTTAAAACTGGAAGATTAATAGCAGATGAAGAAAAACATTGAGGCAAGTTAACAGGAATCTTCTAGATGGCTCTAAAAGCCACAAAACATTGTTTGAAATGGCCTGTGCTCACCTGGTTAATGTTGGCCAGTGGCTCCTCGTCCTGCACAAGCATTTGAGAAAACTGCAGGCCCTGTTCCGGACTGATCTTCATCACACTCCTCAGCAGAAAGATCCAGTCTGGGGTGTACCCAACCTAGAAGCAAGGGAGCACCAAACAGGAAAATCAACAAAAAATCTCAGGCATCAGAAAAGGAAAGGAACGTCTCCATCATTTGTTTCAAACTTGTGTTTACAAAGAAATGAGCAGCAACATTACCATGTGTAGGCACCAGCCTTCTGCCAAACACAATATCCAATCAAATCAATTGATTTCATGTACATGGAAGGCACGATTAACTATACAAACAGCTCAGACCACAAAGAAGTTAATCTGATCTGTGTGCAAACAGGGACAAGATCTGGAAGTCTGCCAAAATATCAAATTAACCTACAGAAGGAAAGGAGGGAGAGTAAAAACAAGACAAAGCTCCCAAATAAAAATAAGATGGAAGGACTGGAAAACTAAGGGTAATAAAAAACGGAAGAGAATAAAATATGATCATTATCAATGAATAAGGATCCTAACAGCAACACCGCCAACTCTCACACCAGAAGACTTATAAAGAAGAGCATTTTATAAACTTCGAAATCAGCAACCACTCAACCACATGTGAGTAATATGTGAGATGCTGATGGTTCAACACACATTACCTTTTTGGCATAGAGAACAATTTTCTGGAATTGGCCAGTTTCTGCAAAACCCTGGATCACTTTGCTTGGCACGTTTGCCTGAAGGTACACACTCAGAGCGAGCATGGGGTCAGTGGTTCTGACCAAGTCTCCGAGCTCCTCTGAGCACTCCAGCTGTAGTATGCCAAGGGACAAGGCAAAGTTAGGAGGTGGGGAGGGAGCCTGGACCAAGTTTTCAAGCTGTGGGGGGTGGGGGACTATGAGCTCACAAGCGTTTCTACCTTATCTTCTTTCAGCCACTTTTCTAGGAGTTGCTTACGCCCCTGCTGAAGAACCAGATGGCAAAGTTCTAAAGATTCAAGTTTATTGAGCTGACCCTGGTCGAGCAGGATTCCAAAGTACTGCAGCAACGGAGAAGCCTGGCCAGACTGAGTGGGTACACTCTGGAATTTCTGGACTGTCTCTTTGGTACGCAGGATTCCCTAATAATAAATGGAAAAATAGGTCACTGTGTTGTAATCACGGGGGGTCCCATCACTCAACTTGCTTGTATATAAAAACAAAAACTTGCCAATGGAAATTCCGCACTGCTGAGTCATGGACAAAAAGTCCTCCACCAAGGCAACTGCTTCTACCTTCAACAATAACTGAAAGTATGGGGGACTCTAGGTCCTTCAGGTGGCTTCGCACCTACGCTTCTCCCCCAGCATGCTGCAGTGAGAATTAGGCCTCTCAATCGGTCTTGTAGTAGTGAAGTTCTGCTATCATTATATTCTAATTCAAAATACTTAAATTCATGAAGAAGGCTAGAAATGGTTTGTTCATAACTACCCCTTGAAAGACAAGAAAAATTCTTTCAAGGACAAGCAACTTGGAAGTCTTTATCTACTTAGGAGCAGATTCAGTCTCTGAACAATTTATCCAAATAAAATAAACCAAAGAAAAAGCCATATGCAGAAATGTATATTCGAAAAGAGTAGAGAAAGTCCAGAGTAGGACTATTGCTAAATAAAACAGGGAACAACCACTTGATGTATTGTAGTTATATATTTGACAACCAGGTAGCAGGAGTAGAAAATTGTAAGTTACAAAAATGTGAAACTGTACCTAAGCTGTTGGGTGAGAGGTATGTATGCACACAAAATGGGAGACAAGAAGAAGTGCTGATACAGGAAGACTGTGCTTTCTGTTTACTTCCTTAACTGTTATGCCATTGGTGCAGAAATGTTAAACTAAAAACTCATAACACAAATACACTGCAATATTAGTAGTGAAATACTTTTATGACTTATTTTCCTCTCAAGATTGGCTCTTAACACTCAGGACACTTGAACAGTATTCAAGGTTTATCACCTTTGGTGCAGACGCTGCCACTTTGGCGGCTTCAGCATAGCTCCCCTGTGCAAAGAGGGTACCGAATTTTCTCACGAACAACTCCTCTGCCCCAGCCAGGTTACTACGAATGGCCAAACGCAGACCAAGTTCTGGATTCTGAAGCACGTTGGCTGCATAATTCACAATGTTATCTTCCTCAACACAAACTGACAGCACCTGTAAGGACCCAACAAGTGAGAGCGGCTGAGCCTAGAAAAGTGCCCCACCATCCCTCCGCCATGTTCCCTCCCGATGCTGGAGGGGTAGCCACCTTCTCAGGCGAGCATTGAGCACACCAGTGATGGTGGCCCTCATAGTGAAAGGAAGCAAAGGAGACGAAAGCTGAAAGGTAAGAAAGCAGAATAGCATGGGAGTCTACGTAGTTGTTAAAGTTACATGGATAAGCACCCCAGTGATGCGTTCCACACTACAACAAAATGACCTATGTAGATGGAACTGATAATTTTTCCTCTTAAACTTTTTATTTTTAAAGCACAGAGTTTATTTCTTTTTTAAAAAACATTTTTGTAGAGACAGGGCCTCACTAGGTTGCCCAGGCTAGATTCAAACTCCTAGCCTCAAGCAATCTTCCTGCCTCAGCCTCGCAAAGTGCTGGGATTATAGGAATCAGCCACTGTTCCTTTTATTTTATTTTTTTTAATTTTAGAGAGAGGCTCTCACTCTCTCACTCAGGCTAGAGTGCAATGGTATGATCATAGCTCACTGCAGCCTCAAACTCCTGGGCTCAGGCCATCCTCCTGCCACCCTCCCACGTAGTTGGGATTACAGGCATAAACTACTGTGCCCATCCAAGAGTTTCTTCTTTTAACTATCTTTTTTCAACTATGGTTGAGAAAAGTAACTTCAATACTGTAGTATCTGCTTTTTCAACCCTGCCAGATTAGGGTGTGCATGGTATGAAGATGAAGTGTTGTGCATCAGAACTGCTATTCCATGCGGGAAGGAGCTGCTCTCCTGGAATCAGTCCTGTGTTAGAAATGGTGCTGTCTGAAGAGGGGAAGTGCCAATATGAAGGAGAAGGGGACATGGATTAGGGTTTTAATAACAGGAACTATTAATAAACTATGCCCAGCCACTTTCCTGGAGAAGAGGGAAAGTAAACACCAGCCCCTAATGAATGGAAAAGGTGGAAAACAAAACGTCAGAGTTACACACCTGTCCCTTTTTGTTGACACCAATAATTCCAGAGGTTGGTTTGTGTGGAGCAGTGACAAATATTGTGTCAGCACTAATACGGTTCATGTAGATGCACACACCAGACTCTAGGTCGTACAGATGAAGATAGCCACACTTCGTGATCAAGTAAATAACACCATGTTTAGCTCCAATCTGTAAGAAGACAGACAGCAAGAAGTTAAGAGGTAAAGAGGAGAAGCCATGTGGGTAAAAAGAGTTCATAAATTAGACTAAGAGGACTTTTTTGTTTTTTTTTTGAGACAGGGTCTTGCTCTGTCACTCAGGCTGGAGTGTAGTGGTGCCACTATAGCTCACTGCAGCTTCCAACCCCTGGGTTCAGGTGATCTTCCCATCTCAGCCTCCAATGCAGCTGGGACTACAAGTGTGAGCGGCCACATCCAGCTATTACGAGGATTCTTCAGTCTCTCAGGCCAAGAGATTACTGGTGGGAGCAACGCTTCACTGAGACATGGATTCTAAGTTGTACTTGATTGAGAATTAGTTTTAAAGCCATATTTTGTCCAGCCACTTTCAAATAAAGGTCCGATAAACTCAGGCTACTCCATTTATCTTTCAGGTAGAGTAATCCTTTCGGTTTGTCAAATCCCTTTAAGCAAGCTGTGAGTTCGTAAGAGAAGGGGAAAGTTCCAGACAATGACCTAAAATGCCAAGTTAATGTTCCAGCACGCCTTCCACCACCACTTATTAACCTTTGAGTTTTGCCAAATGCTATTAACTTTTACAGAAAAATATTTAACACACAAGAAAACCTGAAGGAGACGGGTTAAAAAAAAAGATGCATTTGCCCAACCAGATTATTAAACATATATATTAAATTTTACCATTGGAAGAGAGAGAGAGAGAGAGAGAGAGAGAGAGAGAGAGAGAGAGAGAGAGAAATAGAACTTAATTGAGAGCCCTGAAAGAGAATGAATCATATATGAGGATTTAGTAAGAATGAGTGTGTGGTGACACATGATTATAGTCCCAGCCACTCGGGAAGCCAAGACAGGAGGATAACTTGAGCCAAGGAGTCTGAGTCCAACCTGGGCAACACAGCAAGACTCCAACTCTGAAACAATAAACAATTAGTAGGTAACATATTAATGGAAAATAGGCACTTTAATCAATATGTAACATATATTATTAATATAGTCAGCTAGCTATCTGGAGATGGAAGTAGGAGTAAGGAACTGAATTTCTGTTTTATTCTCTAGATCTAAATAAATTACAGATGGGTCAAAGATTTTAAATAAAAAACAAACACAATTAGGAGAGGAATGAAAGAAAATATTGGTAAATGTTGTGATCATCTTGGGGTGCAGAAGTATTCTCAAAACATGATACCATTGCCACACAAAAATGCAACACATTCAATAAAGTGGCACATACCACAAATTATGGGAAAAATATTCAAAATACATCAGACACTTAGTATTCTGTAAGTACAAAAAGTTCTTACAAATAAGGTAAAAATCCTGGAGCTAGGCACACGCCTGTAACCCCAGCTACTTGGGAGGCTGAGGCCGGAAGACTGCTCAAGGCCAGGAGTTCTAGACTGGCCTAGGCAACATAGCAAGACCCATCTCTACTTTTTAAAAAAACATCCTGATAGAAAAAAATGCAAAGATTAGGAAAAGCCAATTAACCAGATGCATATGAGTGGCTAATAAATCAATTCTACCTTGATGGTAACCAAGGGAAAGACATCACAACATGGGATGCTGTCTAGCTACCAAGGGAAGCATCAGTAGGAACGTGAAGTGGCCAGAGTGGTCAGGAGAGTCTGTGATGGGCATGTGCCCCTGACTCTGCAGTTTCATTTCTAGAAATTTATCCTTGGACTTTTAGACTAACACACAAAGGTGTATGCAGCACATTGTTCCTTATAGTGTTTCGTGTAAATGTAAAACCCATCAACAGGGGATCGTTTAAATGAGTTGTGGCACAGAAGAGATGACGCAGACAATAAAATAGATACATGTGTGTTATTGGCACAGAATGATCTACAACACAGCTAGAGGAGTTTACACAACAGCAAGGCTAGTGCAGAGACATTTTCATAAGAGTCCATCTGTATAAATCTGCATAAATGTATGCGTGTTAAGTTACTTCTACAGGGATGGCCAAATTGCCAGCAGTGTGAGGATTTCAGGAGGTATTTAATTCTGATGTTATTTATTGATATTATTAGAAATTTACAGATAACATATATTTTATGACAAAATAGTAAAAAGGAGAGTAATTATATAATCTTACATATATAATCTGATTCCAATTTTCTTCAGAAAAGGTATAGATCTAAATTTTTTATAAAACAAGCTGTAAAATTTTTATTTATTTATTTATTTATTTGTTTCTTTATTTATGTATTTTTTGGAGACGAAGTCTCGCTCCAGGCTGGAGTACAGTGGCATGATCTCGGCTCACTGCAATCTCTGCCTCCTGGGTTCAAGCAATTCTCCTGCCTCAGCCTCCTGAGTATCTGGGACAACAGGCACATGCTGCCATGCCCAGCTAATTTTTTGTATCTTAGTAGAGATGGGGTTTCATCGTGTTGCCCAGGCTGGTGTTGAACTCCTGAGCTTAGGCAATCTGCCCACCTCATCCTCCCAAAGTGCTAGGATTACAAGCATGAGCCACCACGCTCAGCCAAGATTTTCTATATATTTTACATCCAACTGGTTCATCTACAGAGGAATGTTTTCTTTCTTAAAAAATCTTTTAATTTGTATTACTCAAAAACGTTTCTTTTTTTATTTATCTTTCTGACCTGTGCCTTCAACACTTCCACAACAATGTTCTGCTCCTCAATAAGGAAAGCACACTTGATCACAAACACACTTAGCACACACAGAACCACCACAGCCCCTGCCAATACCTGTTTCTGTTTTAGAGAATCTCGTGAGAACTTCAGGTCTCATAGCACGAACTCCTCCAAGTCTGTCTGGGCACATGCCACTTGCAGGTTTGGGTGTTTTCCCAACCTTCTTGATATAAATGTGAACAATTCTCCTACAGGGGCTCAGGACTACCTAGTTTCATTACAGACTGCATGTCAAACGCTGGGCCATTCTGAGTGCCAGCTCAAAGGACTGTCCCTGGGAGCTCTAGGCTCCTTCGATGGCAACCAATTGTAAAGGAAATGAGTGTTTTATTCTTTATGTATGCTCCTATTCTCATATGACAGTGAATATCTAATCTTTTATAATAAGAAGGAAAGGGCTTAGGACTTTGGTGCATGACTTGGCAAAGTCTCCTGATGTCCTAACTCACTCTGATGCATGGCATTCCTTTCTATGAACAGGACCTTCCCAGCTCACAGACCAAAGCTCTAGGCCTCTAAATGCATTTGAGAGCATCACAGTGGCAGGAGACAGCAGAAGCATCCTAAAAATGGCAGCCTCCTATATCTTGGGAGGTGCTAGAGTACATTTTAGGACATGAAGATGTTTAGAGAGCAGCACATTCATACCTGCATAGCCACTGGAAAATCAGTCTGTGCCTCTGGAGGAAAAAACACATCTACCGCTTTCTTTACAAAAGGCTGGTTTCCTGCTGCAGGCTGTCCAACTTCAATGATGTGCAACTAGAAGAGAGATTTTAGGTTAATCGAGGGAACTGCTTGTGGTGGTGGATGAGTGTTAGCCAAGGCACAGAGGCAAGTGGAGCCTCAGGTCTACATACTGGATGACTAATGCTAAAAGTCACACTCAACCAAAGCAGAAAACCCCCTTGTCAGAGCACCTGTCATTATTCAATAACCTGCTGCCCACCACCAAGCACGGCACAACGGGCCAACGTCAGGCAGTCTGGGATCCTTAGTTCCAGCACAGTGGCAGAATTATGTCCCCTCTCTGGGCCTGGATGCTGACGAAACAAAGGGCTCTAGTCAGAATCTGCTGTGCCTTCCAGCTCTCTCCCTGCCCTCCTGCATATAGCCCAGACTCACACAAGCCTGTTAGCGCAAGATCTCATCACTGGAGGCCAAACTCATGAGACACCCTGACCATCGCACAGGCCTGATGTTTTCAAGGTTGTGCTGGGCAGGGGTAAGAATCTGATGAGGGGGCCCATCCCTGCCTTTAGGAGAACAGCTCCCAGTTCCTGACTGATACCAGTGGCTTCCCTATAACTTTGTTATTATTATTTTTTTTTGAGGCAGTTTTGCTCTGTCACCCAAGCTAGAGTGCAGTAGGGGCATGATCTCAGCTCACTGCAACCTCTGCCTCCAGGTTCAAGTGATTTTCGTGCCTCAGCCTCCAAAGTAGCTGAGATTACAGAGGTGCACCACCACGCCTGGCTAACTTTTGTATTTTCAACAGAGACGAGGTTTTGCCATGTTGGTCAGGCTGGTTTCGAACTCCTGACCTCAGGTGATCCACCAGCCTTGGCCTCCCAAAGTGCTGGGATTACAGGCATGAGCCACCATGCCTGGCTGCCATAACTTCATCTAAAGAAAAGATATCATAGCTAACACAAATCTGCAATAAAATCCAAAATGGAGAGTGAGAGACATGAAAGAAGGGCAGGAGACCGGGCTTAGAGGACACGACGAGGCTGTCCCTGGTGGGCCGTCTGGGTTTGGCCGGGCAGAGAGAGAAGAGAAGAAACACCAAAGGGGCTCAGATAAGCAGGGAAGCAGCACTGAGAGCTGGGCTGGTGGGGGAGGCTGAGTGGCAAGCATATGGGTGCTCCTGTGGGTGCAGATGCGGGGGAACAGAAGTCTTGCTTTGGGTGCTTCAAGACACATAAAATGTAGATTAGGAGAATTCTCTGGCTAGGCCTATTGGTAAGAAGGTGTGAAGCAGGTCTGAGAACCTAATAAATGGCTCTTCTGTAAGCATTTGTGAGGTGATAAGGGCTTAGTGTATCACAAAAGGCTAAGTCAGATGTGAGACTTGCTAAAGGTCAGCGACAAGAGAATGGAATGGGGCTTCACCACTATGGGTTCTTGCTTGGGAGCTGAGAAGGGGGACACTGCCAGCAGGAGCAAAGGCACAGAAAGGACGCCAGACTCTGAGGGTGGCAGCAGGAGGAGGTCGGCAGGAAAGAACTGTGTCCAGACAAGCTCTGACCCACACGTGGAGACAGCTGGCCAGTCAGTCCTGAAAGGACAAGTGAGTCCTGAAAGGAAGGTGTATCCCAGGGCACAGGCAGGGTGGGGCCCTCCCAGGACCCCACACCCACCCTGCAGCAGGGAGGGCCAACTCTGACATGAGGCACAGGGCTGCTCTGGGACAGGTACTGTCAGGAAACTGCATTTCCCAGGCTCTCTGGGTATGGAAGGGACTGCCACAGAAGACCTCCTGGTCCATCTCCAGCTCAGCTGGAGGGGCATGCCCACCAAAGAGCTGGATGTAGAGAGAGCCCCCAGCCCTTTCTCTTCTCGGGGCTGCCGTCTGTGCACAGAGGCCCGGTCTGGAGAGTGCTCTTCTCTGCAGGGCATTCCACGAGGCAGGCTCTGCTCCTGAGAGGGGGTCCTGTCACTGCCCTGCTGTAAGGGGAAGTGTGCCTCACTCTGAGGGAATATGGGAGCAAGCTCTTTGAGACACATAACTAAAGTCAGTGTCATTCATCAGCTACAAGGCTGACATTTGACCTGACTCCTTCTCCTTCTGGCTCTCAAATGAGGAAGACATGAAGTATGTTACTCAACAGGAGGCCAGAGCATTGAAAAACATGTATTTTAGATGAGAAAGTCTGTGAAGCCACATCCTAATTGAGAACTCCTCTGTCTTGAGGAATATTTCAGGGCGAATGAACAACCCAAAATAGTGGTTTCAGAATGTGTTTTTGATAAGAGGATTCTGTCCTGAAGCAGCTCTCCAAGTGGCTGAGAACACCCTGGTGGAACCCAAGGTCTTCCTGACATCACAAGCTTTTCTGTCTCCTCACTTTTCCCCATGGCAGCCCTGCCGAGCAGCTGCTGGCCATGTCCCTGAGCCTAATAAAACCCAGCTGGCTCCTGGGCACAGTTTCATCTCTCTGGAGTCTCCCTGCAACCACCTGGGCAGAAACATGCCTCATGGTAAGGATGGCTCCACACTGGTGATTTCACAGTCGTCTCCCCAAGAGCACAAACTGTGCCTCACTTAACTTTTTTTTTTTTTTAAACAAAGTCTCACTCTGTTGTCCAGGCTGGAGTGCAATAGTGCAGTCTCGGCTCACTGCAACCTCCAGGTTCGAGGGATTCTCCTGCCTCAGCCTCCCAAGTAGCTGGGATTACAAGCACACACTGCCACGCCTAGCTAATTTTCTGTATTTTAGTAGAGATGGGGTTTCACTGTATTGCCCAGGCTGGTCTTGAACTCCTGAGCTCAGGCAATTCGCCCAGCTAAGCCTCCCAAAGTACTAGGATTATAGGTGTGAGCCACCACGCCCAGCCGTAAGAGGATTTTTTTTAATGGGAATGGGGCCACTTAATCATGGGCACCATGGTGTGAACTTCTCAACACCAGGAACCTTTCTCACACAGACACCTGCAGGCCATACCCAACGACACTCACACATGCCCCTAATGCCAGCTCATGACACTTTTCTCAGGGAGAAGACGGTAGAGTGGATCTTACCTTGCCTCCTGTGGGATTCCGTACAGCAAAGCAGAAAAGGGTGGAAGGCTTGGCATTCTCCTCGATCTTGAACTCTGCAAAAGCAGCGGCATGGCCTTCTATGGGTTGTGAGGCCTTCCGATCCACAGAGTAGAGCTGCATTGCCCCAACTACACGGTTTTGCTAAGAAAAGGTATTACACAGTGAAAGGGAGAGAAAGGAGAGGAATATAAAGAAACAATTCTTAAAATATGTTTCTAAAATGAAAGCCTCATACATTGGCATACTTCCTCTAATAAAAATTAAATGTATTAGCTATTAAAGGCATGATATCACTCTGAATTTGATGTGGAAATGTAGCAAACACTACGGGAAAAAATAAGACCACAAAAATATAAGATGGATGATCCTAATTTGTTAAATATAACAAGTGTGAGGGCATTTTTTCATGGAAACTAACTCATGCATTTTGGAGGAAAAACTCCAAAGCATTAATAGTAGTTAAATCAGGGGGATGCAATCACAGGCGAATTTTGAAAATTGTGTTTTCTGAAATTTCTAAGTAGCAAAAATTGTATTTAACGAAAACTAATAAGGCCAGGCACAGTGGCTCACACATGCAACCCTAGCACCTTGGGAGAATCACTTGAGGCCAAGAGTTCAAGACCAGTCTGGGCAACATAGCAAGATGCCATCTCTACAAAAAAATAAGAAAATTAGCTGTCATCGTGGTACATGCCTGTTTGCTTAGCTACTCAGGAAGCCAAGGCAGGGGGATTGCTTGAGACAAGAAGTTCCAGGTGTTGCAGTGAGCTATGACTGCTGCACTGCACTGCAGACTGGGTGGCAGCTCACAACCCTGTCTCTAAAAAAACCAAAACCCCAAAACCAGTAAGGCTAATATCTTCTATAAGACTTAGAATTCATATTTTCTACTAAAGAATTTCAATACATTTATATCCAAAATCAAATGCTCAAAAAGCTAAGTAAATGGAATACAAAAGGGTCCCAGTTCAAGCTCCTGTAATTCAGCATTCAATCCTCTCTGCTGAGTGAGCACACATGTAGTCTGTGGGTAAAATCCTCAGTCTACTCCCTACTCATTCACGACTCCTTCAAATGGGAAAACAAAGGCTTCAACTTTGTCTTTGAAAATATTTTCTATTGCACAGGTTTCTGTTAAAGTTATTAATAAGCAAAGTACTGACACACGCTACAACATGGATGAACCCTAAAAACATGCTAAGGAAAGAAGCCAGGCATGAAAGGCCACACATTGTCTGATTCCACCCATGAAATATCCAGAATAGGAAAATTTAGAGAGAGAAAATAGATTAGTGGTTGCCAAAGGCTGGTAATAGGGAGAAACAAGGGAGTGGCCAGCAGATAAGTGGTCTGTGTTCTAACAGAAAAATGAGCATGGAAAGGTAAAAATAAGAATCCAAAGACAGGACAAAACTCACCTCCCCAAGAGACCGTGGGAAGACTTCCAGCAACATGGTGACAGCACATTTGAGTCCTAAATGTACAGACGCCTAAACGAAGCCTAAGCTGAGGCCAAGATGAAGAGGCAGGGAAGACAGAACAGCCAAGGTGAAGGTGAGAGACTGGACCTGAGGCTACATGTGTAGCCTTGGGCCGATGGCCCGCTTCTAAGTCTTAGGCACGTGCCAGGCTTACATTCCCACCTCGTGGGGCCGCTGAATGTTAAGTGTGTCCAATTTGGGTAAAGGCATGGTAAGGACTATAGCAGGCAAGGACTCAATGTGCAAATGCATTCACTGTGCCAGGCACCCTGCTAGGGGCTAGGGATAAGTAAATATGACACAGATCCTTCTCTCAAGGACAGATGGTGAGAGTTTCTGGCAAATATGTGAGCAACTGCAATACAGAGTGCTGACTGCTACGGCACGGGATAGAACAAAATGCCTTGTCAGCTCACCAAGATCAGTAAGTCAGGGAGGCTTCCCAAAGTGACACCTAAGCTGGAGTAAGAGCTAACCAGGATGACAGGAACAGAACTCGCTTCAAACAGAAACAGGTATTTGTATTTGCAACACTTGGACAGGGCTGGCAAACTATGACCTCATATTCCCCACCCCTTTATATGTTGAGGTGACATTCGTAAAACATAAAATTAACCATTTTAAAGGATATGATTGAATGGCATTTAGGACATTCACAATGTTGTGCAACCAAAACCTCAGCATAGTTCCAAAACATTTTCATCAGCTAGAAGAAATTCCTGTGCCCATTAGTCAGTTGCCAGCCCTCTGACCCCAGTCCCCTAGCAGCCACCAATTCTGCCTTCTAGCTCCATAGATTTACTGATTTTAAATATTTCATATAAATGGAATAATAAAATATGAGGTCTTTTGTGCCTCACTTCTTTAACTTAGTAGGGTTTTTGAGGTTTATCCATGTGTAGCATGTATCAGTGCTTCATTTTTAGGGTTGAATAATATCCCACTGTATGAATACACCCCAACTTATTTACTCCCTCATTTGCTCATGAACATTTGGGCTGTTTCTACCTTTTGGTTATTATAAAAAGTGCTATTATGAACATCTGTGTAAAAGTGTTTGTGTGGATACATTTTAATTTCTCTTGGAGAGACACCTAAGAGTGGAACTTCCGGGTCAAATGATAATTCCATGTTTAACTTTTTGAGGAACCGCCAAACTGCTTGCTACCGCATCTGAACAATTTTATATTCCTAACACTAAGTAGGAAGGTTCCAATTTCTCCACATCATTGCCAACACTTATTTTCCACTTTGTAAAAATTATAACCATCCTAGTGGGTGAAAAGTGGTGTTTTACTGTGATTTTGAATTGCATTTTCCTAATGGCCAATGATGTCGGGCAAGTCCTTCGCCCATTTTTTAATTGGGTTGACTTTCTGTTGTTGAGTTGTAAGTGTTCTTTGTATATTCTGAATACTAGACCCTTATCAGATACATGATTTTCAAATATTATCTCCCAAGTTGTCTTTTTTTGTGTGTGTGAGACGGAGTCTCACTCTGTTGCCCAGACTAGAGTGCAGTGGTGTGATCACAGCTCACTGCAACCTCCGCCTCCTGGGCTCAAGCGATTCCCCTGCCTCAGCCTCCAGAGTAGCTGGGACTACATGAATGTGCCACAACACCCAGCTAATTTTTTGTATTTTAGTAGAGGTGGGGTTTTCACCATGTCGACCAGGATGGTCTCGCTCTCCTGACCTCATGATCCGCCCACCTCGGCTTCCCAAAGTGCTGGGATTACAGGCGTGAGCCACTGCGCCTGGCCCCACGTCGTCTTTTCACTTTATTGACAATATCTTTTTATGCACAAAAGATTTTAATTCTGATGAAGTCCAAATTATCTATTTTTAAATTTTGTTGCTCAGGCTTTTGGTGCTACTATACATAAGAATCCACGTGAAACCCAAAACTTTCTCCCTATGTTTTCTTCTAGGAGTTTTGTAGTTTTAGCTTCTTCATTGAAGTTTCAGATCTATTTTGAGTTTATTTTTGTACACAGTGTGAGGCAGGTGACCAATTCCATTCTTTTGCATATGGATATTTAGTTGTCCCAGCACCATTTCCTGAAGAGACTACTCTTTCCCCACTGAACACTCTCGACCCTGTCAAAAATCAGTTGGCCACAGCTGTCGGGTTGTATTCCTGGACTTCACATTTTTTTCCCATTGGTCTACATGTCTATTCTTATGCCCATGAGGTGTTTGACTGTTGGTAAATGCACGGGATTTTAAAATTTGTTGGTTTTTAGTTTGTCAGTAAAGCATAAACAAGTAATTAAGATTTATCATTTTTGTTTTATACTCCTCAAACATAATAATTTCTTTGTCAAGAGGTATAATTCTCATATGGCATAATTTTTTGTTTGTTTTCTTCTGTTTTTGAGACAGAGTTTCACTCTTGTTGCACAGGCTGGAATACAATGGTGCGACCTTGGCTCACTGCAATCTTTGCCTCCCGGGTTCAGGCAATTCTCCTGCCTCAGCCTACCAAATAGCTGGGATTACTCGCACATGCCACCACTCTTGGCTAAGTTTTGTATTTTTAGTAGAGATGGTTGATAGGGGCAGCCTCCCAAAGTGCTGGGATTACATGCATGAGCCACTGCGCCTGGCCCTTCTAAGAGTTTTGTAGGTTCAGTTCTCACATTTATGTCTGATCGATTTTGAGGTTTTTAGTATTATGAGATAGGGGTCCCATTTAATGCTTCTGCATACAGACATCCAATGTCCAAAAACCTTGTATTGAACAACTATTCTTTTCTTCACTGAACTGTCTTGGCAACCCTGTAAAGATCAATTGACCATAAAGGATACATTTTGATTAGACAAGAGGAATATGTTCAAGTGATCTATTATACAACATAGTAATTACACTTAATAACAATGTACTGCATACATGAAAATCACCAGGAGTAGATGATGTGTTCTCACCACCAAAGATAAGTATGTGAGATAATGCATAAGTTAATTAGCTCAATTAGGCCATTCTACAATGTATACATTTTTCAAAACGTCATTTTGTACATCATAAATATATACAATTTTGTCAATTAAAAATTAATGAAATTTTGACCAAGCAAGGTGGCTCATGTCTATAATCCCAGCACTTTGGGAGGCCGAGGCAGGCAGATCACTTGAGGTCGGGAGTTTGAGACCAGCCTGGCCAACATGGTAAAACCCTGTCTCTACTAAAAATATAAAAAGTAGCGAGTGTGGTGGTGTTTGTCTGTCATCCCAGCTACTTGGGAGGCTGAGGCAGGAGAATTGCTTGAACCTGGGAGGCAGAGGTTGCCGTGAGCAGAGATTGTGCCACTGCACTCCAGCTTTTGTGACAGAGCGAGACTCTGTCTCAATAAATAAATAAATAAATAAATAAAATTAATGAATTTTTAAAAACTATATTTATACTCTACTGATATTATTTTGATTTACAGAAATATGTTCATACCTTATTAAAAATAAACTGAGCAGTGAGACCAGCCTGGCCAACATGGTGAAACCCTGTCTCTACTAAAAATACAAAAAAAAAAAAGCCAGGCATGGTGGTGTACGCCTGTAATCCCACCTACTCTGGAGGATGAGACAGGAGAATCGCTTGAACCTGGGAGGGGGAGGTTGCATTGAGTTGAGATTTAACCATTGCACTCCAGCCTGGGTGACGAGAGTGAAGACTCCATCTCAAAAAAAAAAAAAAAAAAAAAAAAAGAAAGAAATAACCTTGAGTAAATTTAAATTTATTTCTAAGCTGATGCTATGGCTAGGTTTGTATAATTCTAAAATTTTTATGTGGCTTCTGTTCCTTTTAATCAGAAAATTAACTTTCATACGCTGTTCACAAACCATTAAAACTGATTTTGAAACTTAACAGAAATCACCAGACACCATTCAAAAGCCATCTTCCCTTTAGAATGGCTGCTGGGATGCTAAGGTTTTTCGTAGCATATCATTATTAAAGGTGATACAAATAAATGGGTTGGGCAAGGTGACTTATACCTGTAATCCCACAACTTTGAGGTGGGCGGATCACTTGGGGTCAGGAGTTTGAGACCAGCCTGACCAACATGGTGAAACGCCGTCTCTACTAAAAATACAAAAATTAGCTGGGCGTGGTGTCACGCACCTATAGTCCCAGCTATTTGGGAGGCTGAGGCATAAGAATCACTTGAACCTGGAAGGTGGAGGTTGCAGTGAGACGAGTTCATGCCACTGCACTCTAGCCTGGGTGACAAAGTGAGACTCCATCTCAAAAAAAAAATAATAATAATAATAAATAAATAAAAAAGAAAAGAGAAAAGAAAAAGAAAACCTGGCTTTTGGGCACATCACTTTTCTAGAACTCATCTTTTTTTTTTTTTTTAATTTAGAGATAGGCTCTTATTCTACTGCCCAGGCTGGAGTGCAAATACATGATCAGGGTTCACTGTAACCTTGAACTCCTGAGGTCAAGCAATCCTCCTGCCTGAACTTCTCAGGTAGCCAGGACTACAGGTGCATGCCAGCACACCCAGCTCATTTGTTTGCCATCTATTCTTAAGTTAATACCACATGCTACTTTATTTTTTTTTTGGAGACAAGGTCTCACTATGTCACCAAGGCTGGAGTGTAGTGGTGTAACCTTAGTTCACTACAACCTCCGCCTCCCAGGCTCAAGCAATTCTCCCACCTCAGCCTCCTGAGGAGCTGGAACTACAGGCACATGTCACCACACCTGGCTAGTTTTTGCATTTTTTGTAGAGATGGGGTTTTTGCCTTGTTTCCTAGGCTGGTCTTTAGCTCCTGAGCTCAGATTATCCACTTTCCTCAGCCTTCCAAAGTGCTGGGATTACAGGCATGAGCCACTGAGCCCAGCCAGTACCAGATTCTCAATCTATGCAAGTTTGTGGCAAGTTTCAGAATTGGGAACTATAAGTACTCCAACTTTTTGTTTGTTTTAAGGTTGTTTTGGGTGTTCTGGGTTCCTTGCAATTCCACATAAATTTTAGGATCATCTTGTCGATTTCTACAAAGAAGCTAGCTGGTATTCCAGTAGAGATTATGTTGAATTTGTAGACCAATTTGAGGAGTACTTCCATCCTAAAAGTATTAAATCTTCCAGTCCATGACCATGGGATATCTTTTGATTGAGATCTTTAATTACTTCCAACCGTGTTTTGTAGTTTTCAGAATATAACTTTTGCACTTTTTAAATTCATGCCACTGCACAGGAACAAAACCATGTAGTCCATTCTGGAGTAGAGACATGTATGAGAAAGGTAAATTTACCTCTAAGCATTTTATTGTTTTTGATGTTATTATAAATGGGATTGCTTGCCTGATTTCATTTTTGGATTGTTTGTTGCAAATGTGTAGGAACACAACTGATGTTTGCATACTGATATTGTATTCTGTAACGTTACTCAATTTGTTTATTAGTTCTAATAGTTTTTTTTTTTTTTTACCAGATTCCTTAGGATTTCCATATATAAGCTTATTTCATCTGCAAATAGAGGCAGCTTTAATTCTTCCATTTAAATCTAGATGTCTTTTATGTTTTTCTCACCTAATTGCCCTGGCTAGAATCTCTAGTCCAAAATTGAACAGAGGTAACAAGAGAAGACATCCTTGTCTTGTTTCTGATCCTAGGGGGAAAGCGTTCAGTTTTTCAACATGAAGATGTTAGTTGTATTTGTTGTAGATGCCCTTTATCAGGGTGAGTAAGCCAAAGTCTTAGATCTTGTTTCCCTGTATATCTGCAATGCCACTGCCTTCATCTAGTCACACATGCCTCATTTCTTCTGGGAGTTGCAGAAATGGAAGAGATCCTGAAGTGGAAAGAAGTACTCCTTCCCTCTTTGCATATTCTTCATGTTTCTCATACATGTCTCTACTCCAGAATAGACTACATGATTTTGTTCCTGTTTCTGCCTTTCAACTAGTCTCCTGGCCTCCAGTCTTCATGGCGATCCATCCCCAACATCAATGGTAGCATTTTTTTTTCTATTCCACTATGCTGCCAAGAAGGAAAATTGATTACATCACTCTCACTTAAAACCTGCTACAGAATTCCCATTGCCTGCAGTCTGGCCCCCACTCATCTCTCTAAGTCTTGCCCCTCTAGCTGCCTAATATGCTTACCTATAGGTATCATCCATAGTGGATGACCTCAGACTCCTAGAAAAAGCCATTCTCTTCCATTCCATGCCTTTGCACACGCTGTTTCCTTCCAAAGTGTGGAAGCTAGCATAATGCAGCTTAGATCCTCCTGTGATGTGGGCTCTCTTGACTGAAGGTACTCATGGCTCTCACAGTACTCTCCTCAAACATGTGACAGTTATTTAATTACCAGAATCGTATGGATGCACCTTCCCCACTAGGCTATAGACAGATCATTCACTGGTCATCAGGACTGGATGATTAATATATATGTCGCAAGTGCAAACATCAGTAGTCCTCAAGTATCTGGTGACTGAATTAGCCACCAGGAATGAAAAAAGGGAGGACAGAAAGATACTGCTTTCATTATAAAAGAATATGAGTTAGTACCATTCCAGTATTCCAGTCAGTCTTTAAAATGCAGTCTAAGGGCTACTTCTTATAAATCTATTGGTTCCAAATTACTTTACAAAATTCCTCAACAACCTCTCAAAACAGTGCTAGAAATAGTTTACATAATGAACATCAGTAACGTGCTGGAGTGCAGTAGTTAATGGGCCAAAGGTAAATTATTTGATCCAAGTTCAGACTTCTTTGTAATCTCTGTTTCCCTCAGTTGCAGGCCTACTTTTGCCTTAAACCTATAACCAGCTTTTTTTTTTTTTTTTTTTTTTTTTTTTGAGACAGGGTCTCACTCTATTGTTCAGGCTGGAGTGCAGTGGTGTAATCTCGGCTCACTGTAACCTCAAACACCTGACCTCAAGAGATCTGCTTGCCTCTGCCTCCCAGAGTACTGGGATTATAGGCATGAGCCACCACACCTGGCCCTATAACCAACTTCTAATAACTTAACCATTCCACTCTAATGTTGGGCTTTGAAGTTCCATCAGACCAGCCTCTAAAGGCAGCTCAAGGCTTACCTGAGCCGAGATGCCTACAAGGAGCAGCCACTTCTGGTATTCATCAGTCCGGTAGTTAATCACCTGGCAGCCTGCCAGGCTGGTATGTCTATCAAACATCTTAATGGGCTGGGAGTCTCCTTCCATGTTCCAGTGGTAGACGGCTGTCTCGGTCACTAAGGCAACAGTGTTCACAGAAACCCATTTCCAGAAAATCACCTCTTCTGCCATAGTATGAGCCTTCATTTTATTCTTCATCTCAATATTAAAGATCTGAAGTGTCTTTCCAGCTAGTATTTAATACAATAGAGATTAAAGAAAGATAAATTAAAAATCTGAAAGACAAATTCTTATACTCTTTAATTCTGAATTCTTTAATATTACTTTAGGTTGTACCAGTGATCTCATTAACAGGGTCTAAAATAGCTGCCGGAGTAGTAATTAACCACACCTTAACGTCTAAATATTGAGGAGAGCCTGTATATATTGAATTCTTCTTCAGAATATAAAAGTGTGCAAATATTTATAGATATGTTTCTTTTTTCCTTTTTTTTTTTGAGATGGAGTCTTGCTCTGTCACCCAGGCTGGAGTTTAGTGGCATGATCTTGGCTCACTGCAACCTCTGCCTCCTGGGTTCAAGCGATTTTCCTGTCTCAGCCTCTCAAGTAGGTGGGATTACAGGTGCACACTGCCATGCTTGGCTAACTTTTTGTATTTTAGTAGAGATGGGGTTTCACCATGTTACCTGGGCTGGTCTCAAACTCCTGAGCTCAGGCAATCCAACTGCTTCAGCCTCCCAAACTGGTGGGATTATAGGTGTGAGCCACCACACCCAGCAATGTTGGAAATATTCTATATTTGCATCCATCACAGCAGATAATAGCTACATGTGGCTTTACGCACTTAAGGTGTATCTAGCAAGATATTTCAGGAACTGAATTTATGCTTTTATTTAACTTTAATTAATCTGAATGTTAAACAGCCCCATACAGCTAATGTTCAATAGGACAGCACAGTTCCAGACAAAAGATGTGGCATCCATTCTCTGGCAAGAGACCCATAATGTTTCTACCTGTAGCAATGAACTAAATTTTGATTTTAGAATCTATATGAAATTTAGAGCTAACATAAAATATTAAAATATTGCTTCCCACTAAGATTGGGAGCAAGGCAAGGATTATTTCTCTCACCACTTGTTTTAACACTAAGAATAACATGCATGATAAGGCAAGAAAAATAAAAGGCATAAAAATCAAAAAAGGAAGCAAACCCATCTTAACTCACAGACAACATAATTATTTACAAAGAAAATCCTGCAAAATCTACAAATCTACAAAACAAATATTAGAATTAATAGGCGACTACAGGAATGTGGCAAGATGCAAAGTCAACATACAAAAATGTCAATTGAGCTGGGCACAATGGCTCACACCTGTAATCCCAGCCCTTTTGGCAGGCTGGGGCAGGTGGATCTCTTGAGGTCAGGAGTTTGAGACCAGCCTGGTCAACATGGTGAAACCCCATCTCTACTAAAAATACAAAAATTAGCCAGGTGTGGCTGCAGGTGCCTATAATCCCAGCTACTCGAGAGGCTGAGGCAGGAGAATTGCTTGAACCCAGGAGGCAGAGGTTGCAGTGAGCCAAGGTGATGCCACTGCACTCCAGCCTGGGTGACAAAGTGAGAACAGGTCTCAAAAAAATCAACTTAATTTTCAGATGCTAGCAGCAAACAATTTGGAAATATAAAAAAGAATTCATAACCCCACCTGAAACACAGCATTTAGGTGTAAATTTAACAAAGGGTGAGCAAAGCCTCTACACTATAAAATATTCCTGAAATAAAATAAAGGCTTAAACAAAAGAAGAGGCATACCATGTTCATGGATCAGAACACTTAAAATAGCTAAGATGTCATTTTTTTCTAAATCATTTACAGGTTCAATGTAATAACAATCAAAATCCCAGCAACCTTTTCCTTCTTTCTTTCTTCTTTTTTGTTTTTTTTTTTTTTAGAGACAGGGTCTCACTTTGTCACCCAGGCTGTAATACAGTAGAGCAATTATAGCTCATTGCAACCTCAAATTCCCAGGCCCAAGTGATCCTCCTGCCTCAGTCTCCCAAGTAGTTGGGATTACAGGCTTGCACCACCACACTCAACTAATTTTTCTTTTCTCTCTTTTTTTTTTTTTTTGAGACAGAGTATCACTCTGTTGCCCAGGCTTGAGTGTGGCGGCAAAATCTCAGCTCAGTGCAGCCTCCACGTCCCAGGTTCAAGTGATTCTCCTGACTTAGCCTCCCAAGTAGCTGGGATTACAGGTGCATGGCACCACGCCCAGGTAATTTTTGTATTTTTTGTAGAGACAGGTTTGGCCCTGTTGACCACGCTGGTCTCAAACTCCTGACCTCAAGTATTCCACCTGCCTTGGTCTCCCAAAGTGCTGGGATTACAGGTGTCAGCTTAATTTTTAATTTTTGTTTAAGAGACTAGGTCTTGCTATGCTGCCCAGGCTGGTATCAAACTCCTGGCCTCATGTAATCCTTCAATCTCAGACTGTTGAAGTGCTGGAATAACAGGTGTGAGCCACCACTCCTGGCCCAGCATCTTTTGTTTGGTGGAAAATAAATAATGAATATGGACAAGCAGAGGACAGAGGATAGAAATACCAGCTTTGGAAAAGAGCGAAGCTGTAATACTTATGACACCTAATGTTGAGACATACTATAAAGCTAAGCTATTAATAAAACCTATGTTATTGTCATAAGACACATGTATCAATGAAACAGAAGAAAGTCTAGAAATAGCCGCATGCTCTGATTGGATAAAAGTGCCTCAAAAAAACTCAATAGACTCAAACACATTTTTATTAAAATGGAAAAATTTATCCTAAAATGAATATGGAATCTCGAAGGACCTCAAATAGCCAAAATAATTTTGATAAAGATGAACAAGGTGGGGTGATCTCACACTTCCTGAATTTAAACCTCATTACAAAACTAGAGTAAGCAAATAGTATGGTAGCAGCATAGAGACATAGACCAATGGAATATATGAGAGAATCCAAAAATGAACCTTCACATATATTATCAAATGATTTTGCATAAGGGTACTAGGACTGTTCAACAGGAAAAAAAGAATACTCTTCAACAAATAATACTGGGAAAACTGGATCCTCAAAAAATAAAATTGGATCCTTACCTTATACTATATACAAACATTAACTCAAAAAATGGATTAAAGACCTAAACATAAAACTAAAATCACAAGCAGGACCTGAGTCCTGTTCTCTCACTTTCCTCCCCAGATGCCACGAGTTTCACCACTCGTTCTACTACCTTCTCTACCAACTACCCATCCGTGGGCTCCATCCAGCTGCCCAGCTGCACCACCCAGTCTGTCAGCAGCCTAGCCAGCATCTATGCAGATGCCAGCGTTTTGGGTTCCCAGATCTCCATGTCCTATTCCACCAGCTTCCAGGATGGCTTGGGGTCAGCACCCTGGCCTCTAGGATGGCTAGGATCTGGTGAGAATAGGGGGCATCTAGAGTGAGAAGAATGATTACCTGGTCTCTCTAGACAGAGTGAGGAACTTGGATACTGAGAATTGGAGGCTGAAGAGCAAAAACTGGGAGCACCTGAAGAAGAAGGGATGCCAGGTCAGCAACTGGGGCCATTACTTCAAGACCATCAAGAAGCTGATGGCTCAGATCTTTGCAAATTCTGTGGACAATGCCTGCATCGTTCTGCACACTGACAATGCCCATCTTGCTGTTGATGACTTTAGAGTCAAGTATGAGACAGAGATGGCCATGCGCCAGTCTGTGGAAAGTGACATCCATGGGCTCTGGAAGGTCACTGATGACACCAATGTCACTGGGATATGTGTGACTGAAGACAGAGAGAGAGACTCTCAAGGAGGACTTGCTCTTCATGAAGAAGAACCATAAACAGGAAGTAAAAGGCCTACAAGCCCAGATTGCTAGCTTTCGGTTGACTGTGGCGGCAGATGTCCAAATATCAGGACCTCAGCAAGATCATCGAAGATATGCAGGCCTGATACGACAGGCTGGCTCAGAAGAACCTAGAGAAGCTGGACAAGTACTGGTCCCAGCAGACTGAGGAGAGCACCACAGTGGTCACCACACAGTCCACTGAGATCAGAGATGCTGAGATGATACTCATGGAGCTGAGATGTCCAGTCCAGTCCTTGGAGATTGGCCTGGACTTGATGAGAACTCTGAAGTCCAACATGGAGAACAGCCTGAAGGAGGTGGGACCTGCTACGTCATGCAGATGGAGCTCCTCAACAGGGTCCTGCTGTACCTGGAGTCGGAGCTGGCACAGATCTGGGCAGAGAGGCAGCAAGCAGGCCTAGCAGTACAAGGCCTGGAATATCCAGGTCAATCTGGAGGCTGAGATCACCACCTACGCTGCCTGCTGAAAGACGGGGAGGACTTCAATCTTGGTGATGCCCTGGACAGGAGCAACTCTATGCGAACCATCCAAAAGACCACCACCTGCAGGATAATGGATGGCAAAGTGGTGTTTGAGACCCATGACACCAAAGTAATGAGGCACTGAACCAGCAGAAGCACGGAACTCTTTGGGGATCAGGAGGCCAATGAAAAGTTCAGAGGTCAAAAAACAACAAGTAAAATCATAAAATGTTAAGAGAAAACATAGTGGAAAAGCTTGATGACGTTGGATCTTGCAATGATTTTTTGGGATATGACAACCAAAGAAAAAAAATAAATGAACTGGACAGCATCGGAGGTCACAAAAGAGGAAAAAAGGCAACCCAGAGAATAAGAGAAAATACAGGCATACCTCCTTTTATTATACTTCATTTTACTGTGTCTTGCAGATATTGCATTTGTTTTTTTGTTTTGATTGACAGTTTCGCTCTTGTCACCCAGGCTGAAGTGCAATGGTGAGATCTTGGCTCAATGCAACCTCTGCCTCCCTGTTTAAGAGATTCTCCTGCCTCAGCCTCCTGAGTAGCTGGGATTACAGGCACCTGCCACCATGCCCAGCTAATTTCTATATTTTTAATAGAGATGGGGTTTCACCATGTTGGCCAGGCTAATCTCGAATTCCTGACCTCAGGTGATGCACTTGCCTGGGCCTCCCAAAGTTCTGGGATAACTGGTGTTTATTTATTTATTTATTTATTTAAAAAAATTTTTTTTGAAAAAAAAAAATCAAAAGTTTGCAGCAATCCTCCATCAAGCAAGTCTGCTGGTATCATTTTTTCCAACGGCATGTGCTCACTTACTGTCTCTGTGACACACT